TCATCGCATGCCTTAATTAAAATGAAATAGGATGACGGAGATAATATCAAATATGAACCTATTTAAGAGGTGTGACGTCTACGACCTATGGACAGCGGGAATAAACAAACTCGTTTACGCAACATGTGGTAAAGATGGTTTTACATATAAAATATTAAATAATTTACCGATTACTTCATTTAGGTAACCAATTATTGTGCAATTGACAACCTTGTTAGCGTCATCGTCATAATGTATAAAGTTAAGAAGGTAATGAAAAAATTTAAGTGAATTTTACACTGCTTTTAAAGTTCAAGCTTATCCTATCATACGATAATTTTTCGTGAATTTAAATATAATGCTATTGTTGTATTAACACCTCAAATTACTTTTAACTTTTATATAACTCCAAATACATTAGTCTATTTACTCCGTTCATGAGGTACCAGTACATAATTTCACAGGTAAAATGGCGATATGTCCACAATAACGCTCTATTTGAACAGCAATATTTATGATTTTTTGAATTAATAAGAAAACTATTGTTATGTTTAATTTTGTATGATAATATTGCCTATAATAATATACATTATACACATTAATTTGTTCTAATTCAGTTTTTATGGATAAGACATCAATTATTACTCTTGTTATTTTAAGATGAATGAGTCACAATATCTACGTATCGTCGAGTCCATATTTTCTAAGAAGTAATATCAATAAAACACAGATAATAAGTTATTAATATTTATTTTAAAATGGTAAATGCTATGATACTTAATTACAAGCTAAATCACCGTTCTACTCACGTAACACATATTTACTGCACAATATACAATACATATTTTGTTCTGCTATTCAATATAGCATCAAATTAAATTAAATTTAAATTTAGATAATGTTTTAAAAACATAAAACTCGAAAATTTTATTTAAGTAAAATATCTTTCAACAAAATTATGACACGTTTAAATTATATATCATATAATATTAAAATATTTTATTATTCCACAAAAATACAGTCACAAAAGATTCAGATCTCATAATTATTTTTTATTAATCGTATTAAATTTAGTTTATTCTCATTTCTCAAACTAAATTTGTAGTGATTTGATATTTCATTTAAATATCGACTTTCATTAAAATAATAAATTACATTTAACCACCACTGTAAAATGTTAATGTATATATTTTTTTTATTCCGGGGCTTATTGGCTATAAATGACAGATATTATATGTATGTACTAATAATTAATATTTTATTTTTATTTTTTTGTTATAATATCAATTTTAAGTCAAACTTCATATTTGATCAACGACCACTTTAAGCAGTCCCAAAAAGGTATACCTAATAATAATATATTTATGAATATAATTTACGATGCAAATGTAATAATGCATTGATTGCCAAAAAAATATATATATTAAAAAAAAACAATATTTATATACAATATTTTTATTCTAACCGCTCTTAAATATAAAACTTGCAAGATTGAATTTATTCAATGAACATATATTATAATAAAACCTATAATTTTACTACTTTTCCTGCAATAAAGTTACTTAGCCGTTTTCATTTTGTTTAATTCCGTCTTTTTATTTTGCTTTTTTTACATTGTCTGTACGTGTATTATACAACTGGTATAATAAATAATAATTAACATTTAAATAAAATATTTCATATAGTTATTTTATGACCATGTTAACACATTTATATCATTAGTGACTTGAGCCAAGTTATTCAAGTCTTCCCCCCCAACGTGCGTTCACCTTGTCGTGGTGGGGGGGCTCAGTAGTGCCCGGCAATCCAACCGGGCGCGAAGCTAAGAAACGCACAGGGAGGTTGCCCACTTCGGTGGGCGGTGGGAGGTGGCCCTCTTTGGGGGGCGGTGTACCATGCTCCTGGTACTTCTCTGATAGCAGAGTGGACTGTGGAGCAACCCCATGGTTGTGGTGGTCTGCTTCGGCAGACCTGCCGTCGGGGCGTCGTAGTTGAATGCGCAAGCGATCCTGCGACGCCCCATTAAGACGGGGGAAGGTTTTGTTGGGTTTTAGTGGGTAGTACTGGCTGTATTACGCCGGTGAGTCCCACACGTCGTGCGTAAATGCATTTCCCAACGTTAAAAAAAAAAAAAAAAAAAAAAAAAAAAAAAAAAAAAAAAAAGTTATTCAAGTCTTACATAAAGTCAATGTTTAAAAAAACATTGTCAAAATTGACAACTACCTACACAATGTAAATTGTAGCCTAAAGGCTTATATACACGGAAGTAACACTTCTGAAGATATGAATGTTGAAACTATATTAAATAAAAACCGACCAAGTGCGAGTCGGACTCGCACACGAAGGATTCCGTACCATTATCTATAAAAACGGCAAAAAATCATGTTTGTTGTATGAGAGCCCCCCTTAAATATTTATGAATATATAACTAAATATTCTGTGAATATTTCAAGCGTCTACCTGTTGCCGTTATCAATATCGAGCAAAAACGAGAAAAAAAATCACATTTCTGAATGGGAGCCCCCTTAAATACTTATTTTCTCCTTTTTTTAGTATTTGTTTTAATGGCGGCAACAGAAATACATCATCTGTGAAAATTCAACTGTTTATTTATCACGGTTCATGAGATAAAGCCTGGTGATAGATAGACAGACAGACGGACGTACAGCGGAGTCTTAGTAATAGGGTCCCGTTTTACCCTTTGGGTACGGAACCCTAAAAAGATTTTTTCAAGTATAATTTAGATGGCTCAACTTTTCCATATTCTTTTCAGTATTTCGCCTTGAAAATATGAAATTCTTTCCGTGTAAAGGAGTCTTAATGCATACTAATATTGGAAATACCCAATTATATCATTGGTTTGTTATTCTTTCAAGAAGCAATGGAGCTACGAATCAACATGGTTTTTGAGTCAAAATTATTAATATTTTTAAGATAAAAAAATATATATTTATATTTTTATAATGTATTAAATATTATATTATTATAACAAAAAAAATTAGTTAGATCATTTCTAAATATATCATTTTAATAAATATATTAAATAACTTTGTTTTTGCTTGGTATATAAATAGTGTTTAAGTATGCCGTTCTTTCAGATTAATTAACTAACGGAACGACATATTATATGTATGTATATCATAAGATTTCTCTGATGATGGGAAGCTCAAAACGAAAATGGATCGTACACACCTACCGACATACAACGTCCAAATCTCCAAACCAAAGTTTTGTTAGTAAATTATTCAATGTGTATTGTTTTATTATATATAGATTATTATCTACGAAACCAATCAGGCTCTATCCTATAAAATAGCATCACATACATTTAATATACTTCAACAAAGGCAATAAAGCTATGGACAGTGTTTCAATTCCTAAGTTTCCAAATCGCAATGTAGCAGTTATCTGAAAAATAATAATTATCTGTTAATGAATTTGTTTACATATATCCTACTAATATTATAAATGTGAAAGTTTGTGAGGATGGATGTTTACTATTCTTTCACGCCAGAATGACTGAACGAATCTGGATGAAATTTGGCATAAAGATAGATTATGAACTGAAATAACACTTAGGTTACTTTTTATCCCGGAAAAATGTACGTTTCCCGTGGGATACATTTGTTTTGTCTAGGGACAAACCCGAAGCGAAGTAGACCGTTAGTCCTTAGAATAATTAAAACAGACTAGTCTAGGTTCGTATGGCATACAGAGACAACATAACTACATCTAAAGGACTTTGTCAGAAGAATATTTTCTATTCAAACTTAAATTATGAACGATTTTGACAAAACATTTGGAAAGCTCAAGTTAAAAACTCGATAAGTAGTTGTCGATTGATAGAAACATAATAACAAAATTTTGATTCAGTTTGTAGAAAATTTGGCATCATGTTCTTGGCATTAATTAACCTTTAAATTGTATTAATCACAGAAACCATTTTTTTTATTTGTAAATCACGAGTAGTTGTCGTTTTGAATGATTCAAAAAAGTACTTAAGTAATTTTTTTTCAAGAAAAATAACTTACATTAATATACATATGACATTAAGATCGCAGTTTTGTAAAATAGTATTTATACTTTGATATGTGATCTTATTGATATCGATCGACAAACCATTTTGTTTACCTCAAATCGATAAAAATCAAAACATTGATGAATCGATTATATTAACATTAAAGAAGGCCGCATAATGCATACTAAGTACTGATATGATCTTAAAATATTGTGAGAACTGAAGGTAGGAGGAGAATTAATGAATTTATTTAGAATGTATGTAGAATTTTGTGTAAAATATGTTTATATATACATATAGTTTAGTGAATATATATTTTTATCTTTATATATATAATTCTTCTGTGAGTGTGTATGTCACTGAACTTCTCTCAAACGACTGGACCGATTTTGATGAAATTTTTTGTGTGTGTTCAAGGGGATCTGGGAATGGTTTAGATTCACAATTTGAATAATAATTTTCATCAAAAAAATTATTAAAAAAAGTTTGAAATTTTCAAATTAAAGACGTGTAGACAGGACAACGTCTGTCGGGTCCGCTAGTATATGTATAAATATAAAACAGTTTTTCAATAAAAAAAATATTTCAAGATATGAATACGTAATTAAAATAATTATCTGAAGAAAGATAAGTTTGCATGTAGGGGGTTAAGTTTGTAATACAAACTTTATCTCTACATAATAATAATAAGGCCTCCCGATCGATTTCGGCCGCGGCGGCCAATTTCACTAGACCAGACTCACTAGACTAGCGAACTGCGCAGGCGATATTATAGTGCAGCGCGTGTCACGTGTGTCGATTGCGTGCGCACAGACACCACGTGCACTCTCTGCTCCTAACACTCTCACAGTCCGACGGGACGATACTTCGACACTCTTACAGGGAAAAGAATTTTGGAGAGGGACTCGAATCCGATCAGCAGCCGTACAGGCTGGCCACTACACCCCCGAGGCAGTTTTTTGTTTACCTGTACAAGACGAGCGTGTGCGGTCGCGTGCGGTCACGCGAGGTAGGCGCGCACGAGCGCGCGCACGGCGGCGCGGCACAGCGGGCACGCGCGCAGCGCCGCGCCGCAGCCCGCGCACGACACCAGGTGCCCGCACGGCAGGAACACCACGCTCACCTGCGACACCACACACACCACTGTTAAGGTGTCTGCCCACTACACCGTCTCATACCATGACCGTGCCAGGACTGTGTCAGGCAAAAAAATCGTCTTTATATTGAAAAGTATGGGACTCGGCACGGACACGGACCGCTCTTGCAAGCGTTTCATTCATCTTGCATACAGCGGTTCCCAATTTTTTTTGACCCTAATTGATGATCAATTTTTTTTACAGATCCCCATTTTAATAATAATTACTATTATAGACAGGAAAGATTAGTACTTTTGTATGTTTGTAATGAATAAACTCAAAAACTAGTGGATCGATTTAAATGAAATTTGATAAGAAGATAGTTTGAGAGTCTGGGACGGACATAGGATATTTTTTATTCCGGAAATCATCCCTTAAGGGGGTGAAAATGGAGATGAAAGTTTATATGATAAAGTTTGTATAATTCAACCTTGAGACGAACCCGAGCGAAGCGAATGTGAGTCCCTAGTAATAACTAAACTGATTGTGTTGTAGTTTCTTATTGTGTTGTACTTTCTTATTTGTGTCTTTTTGTAATGTCAAAATAACAACATTTTCCTAAATGCATATGAAAGTATCGGTAGTTATATAAAAAAAATTAAAACTTTGTCTCTCATCTGTTTGTTCCAGCTAATCTCCGGAATGACTGGACCGATTTTGACGAGACTTTTACTGGCGGATAACTGATGTTATAAAGAGTAACTTAGGTTACTATATATAGATATTAGGTTACTATTTTAGAGAAAGAATTGAGGTTCTGCTCAAAAAAATGTACCTAGGGACGCACCCGAGAGGGTATGTCGCTAGTATACAATATATGTACATACATATCTAAGCGAAATATGATTCGGTGAGTTAATAACGAAATCTCAGAAAGTATAAATGCTACAAACTTGAATTTTAACCAGTAGATTTCTCATAGCGAGAACATTCTTTTTATGTCAATTTATGATATACAGAACTATACAATAAATATGAATAGTGAGTAATAATTGAAATCTTATATGCTACTGGTATTATTCTCAGTGTTAAAGCAACAGTAGATTTTCTGTTCTTGATATTAATCCCTCCACGACCGCGGACCTGCCGGCGTGTCAGTTAACAATAGATTTCTTAGAATTTTAATTAATTTCTTAGAAATTTACCTGGAGGTGATAAGTCATTCTAACTATTAAGAACATTCATTGACTAAAGAAAAATATTATAGATTCTTAAATCAATTTTTTTTTTTTTTTAATAGAATTGAAAAATCATTAGTAAATCCAATATAAATTTGAGTTTCACTTTTATAAAAATTATTCTTTTAATATTCACCTCATTATCCATACACACTTTACACATCCTCGCTTCTTTCAACTGTCTGTTCTCTTCTTCCAGGGTCAGTTGTTTTTTCTCGGGACTCGATTCTTTTTCAATATTATTGGTAGGTTTTCTAGAAGATTCTTCGGTGTCTCGTAACGTGTTAGAGGTTGTTGGGATATTTCTTAATGTGGATGGTTGAACCGGGCTGTCTGTTCGGGACGTATCGCTGTCCGCTGGCTCGCTGTCTACGTTCGATGGGATTATTCTAAAAATTAATAATTATTATTATTGTATTATCTTTCATAATATTTTTATATCACATAAAAATATATATAATATAATTGGATAATTTTCGACATATTCAAGTGAATTTAAGAGAAATAGCGACGTGTTCTAAGATGTCATGGACCAATTTAATTACACTAAAATTATAAATTAAAGGCTTTCTGTAGTCCTGTAGTCTATATAAACTTTAACTATGCCAAAGCTCATACTCCTCCGTACTTGCAATATGCTTAGAAAGGGGTTCAAAGTTTTCTCTTCACCTATTAATATATAGATTCCTAGCAGAACCCGCGGCTTCGCTCGCGCTAAAACTACAAAAAAAAACTCTAAAAAGGTATATTTCATACAAACTTTCATCCCCTAGTTTACCAACATTTATGGAATGAATTTCAAAAAATGCTAAAACACTTATTTATTTAATTTTATTGAAGAGCATTAATACCAATATTCAAGTAATTCTGAACATATATTTTTTTTGGATTAAATTATGTATAACGTGTTTTCCCGTGGGAATGAGATAATCTCTCGCGATAAAAAATAGCCACTCTCCAGCCCTCTAACTACTATCTCAACACAAAAATCACGCCAATCCGTCACTCCGTTTCCACGTGAAAGAAGGACAAACAATCACTCAAACAAACACACTTTCACATTTCTATTATTAGTATGAATTATTATAATATTAGTAGGGATATATCTCACCCGGCTCTGGGGGCGAAGTCCCTCAACGTCTCCGCGAGTATGTCCCGCGCGAGGCGCTGCGAGTGCGGCGACACCGACCACGCCTCCTCGTTGAGCTGCTCGTCCAGCACTGCGTCGATCAGCGCCTCTGATGTACTGAAGGGAAGACCTGGGGAGGTTATATATATTTAATTGCATACATAGAAATAAATATATATAGTCTGGTTTTTAATCTCAGAGACTAAATTGACACATGCAAATGTGAAATTTACAAATAATGCCGCCAGCTCTTTTGTGCAGTGTTGTACCTACGATACCGGTTTGTTGAATAGTAACTTTTTATCTTTATTGGACGATTCGCTTTAGTCTTATATTCCAAAGTGTATCATTAAAATTCACATTATTAATTCTAAATCATTAAATATCATATTTATTATTTTAAATCATTAAGTATCATTAAAATCCACATTATTAAATTCAAATTTACATTATTAATTTAGTATTATTATGTTATAAATAATACCTACACATTATTTCAGGATAACTTGTTATAAAAAACGATACTTGATTTTATTAACGTTAATTTTCGTTAAAAGTACATCACCATTTAAGAATTGCAAAAAAGTGGCAAACCCACGTAATGTCAGTTTAGTCTCTGAGATTAAAAAACGGACTATAGTTGAAACGGTTAGTATAGATTTCGGAGAGTAGAAAATAATGTAAGTACTATTATCGCTATTAAAAAATAGGGGTTGGTGGTAGAAGGGTGAAAATTTAGGATTGTATGTATTTTTAATGCCGAATCATAAAATAATTACAATAAAAAAAATGTCCAAACAAATTTTTTTTTAGGTGGACCACTCTTATCACTTAGGGGTATGAAAAACAGTTTACGTCTTATTCTCAGACCTACTGAATACACTTACAAAATTCTATAAAAATCGGTCAAGCCGTTTCGGAGGAGTTTTGTTACAAACACTGACACGAGAATTTTACATATTATGTTTAATAAACGATTATATATGAGACCATTTTTTTTTCTAAAATGAAATAGTCTAATTTACCCCTTATTAGATCAGCCATCTGCAAGTGAAAGTCCCGTCGAATCGATCCAGCCGTTTCGAAGATTAGCCGGAACAGACAGACAAAAATTTTAGGTTTCTTTTTTTCTAATATATATAATATCTTCTTATTATAATAACGTTTATACTTTCAATATGTATTTATTAAAAAGCTGTTATTTTGACATTATAAACAGACATTTTAACTTTCTTTATCTATGTATGTATTCAGCCCTTTTGAACGTCCCACTGCTGGGACTGCCTTCCTTCAATACGAGGGGGATCAGGCCATAGTCACACTGGCCAAGTGCGGGTTGGCGGACTTCACATGTCTTTCGAAAACTTGCTATGTTCTCTTGGACATGCAGGTTTTCTCCCGATGTTTTCCTTTACCGTAAGGCAAGTGGTAATCATGTTAGAAATGATTCGCACACGAAAATATCAGAGGTGCGAGACCCGGGATTTGACCCACTTCAGTCGGTTTCCCAAGCAAGCGCGTTACCGCTGGGATACCACTGCCTATAATCTATTTATCTGTATAGATATTAATATATTCGCGCACTATAACATAAGAGATAGTGGTGTTTGTTCTCTCAACGAGAGGCCCGTACCGGTGGCGCGCAGGCGGCGCACTATGGCCCGGCGCACGCGCGCGGCGTCCAGCCCCGCGCCTAATGCCGCCAACGCCGGACCATTCTCCATACATTCTTCTATCTGTATTAACAAAACTAGAGTTAATGTTCTACATTTTTAATATTTTATTAAATAGATAAATAGAAAATAATTATACTTCAAAAAAAACTTAAATGTATACTATATAAATATCATAAATAAACAGAGAGAATGAGTTAAGATTTGAATAGAAATTATTATATATAGTTTAAACAACAGCTACGGTCAAACTAATTATATTTACCTGACTAGGCGTAACTGGGAAATTCACAGAAGGATTTCTAGTCCTGGAACTCAAACCTCGGTCAGCGGAGAACTGAAATTCGAATTATTAATTAGTAGATACTAGATTGTTAATAATATCTTTATAATCTACACTATACATATAATAAAATAATAACATAGTGGAATCTGTACGGATATATTAAAAAAAATTACATATGTTACGTATTGTGTAGAGAATATAGACCCCAAAGACACACTAGGCCCTCACGTGCTCTCTCTTATTCTCGCACTTTCACACTCATGCACTCACGGACTAACGCACACACAATACTCACACGCACACACACACACGCACACAAAACTTCAATTTCTAAACTTAATATTTTAACTCGTGCAACTCACGGTCCTCTGCACCGAGACACGGTTGCGGCACGTGTCCACGAACTCCGGCCCCTTGACGAGCAGCACGTACCCGCAGTGCGGGAACCAGTGCGCGTGCTCCGACCACGGCGCGTCGCCCGCCTCCCACTTGCCTAGGCCGCCGTCGCAGTAGAAACATCTCACCTGATGTTGTACTTTGTATATTGAATAGTATTCTAGTTTCATCTATATATTAACACGTGAAGAGAAAACTTTGAACCCCTTTATAAGAATGTTGCATGTAAGGAGGAGTATAAGCTTTGGTATAGTTAAAGTTTATATATGGAGTAGGACTGTAGAAAGCCAAAATTTAGTGACTTTCTTTTACCCGCGAAACCGTTCGCGCATTTTATTTATATATAATTACTTCAGACCACATAGCATAATGTAAGATAACCTTCATCAATATTATACTAGTATTAATAATTACTAATAATGATGTAATGTTCTCATGAACAACCTCACTGAGATTATGTATACAGAGCCACATGAACTGTACTCCTATCATTCTGATATTCCTGAAGACCTGTAGTCTGAACAGTGAGATATCAGGCGCAGAACCGACGACTTGACTTGCTCTCCGTGTGTGTAGAGATGAAACACTGCCAACTCCAGGCTGTTACTGAGACTTTCTTAACAGCAAAAAACTATAATTAAACCAACCCGGGATTCGAACCTAGGACCTCCAAATCTGCAGCCGCTTACTAACCTCTAAACCAATAAAGCAGTTACTAATATACTCGACAGAAGGAAATTCACTCATCGCCATTAACATGATGACCATAGATTTTTTAAACTCATCTATATATATTTAGTAAAACAACCACAATTCCACTTAAGACCAAATGAATTTTAGAATGTTAGTCCATATTTTTTTATTTTGCTTATTAACATATTTACAAAATCTAATCAGACCTGAAAGATAGAGTGGTTGATAGCTGGAAAATTTATTATTGTATTTATTGTTGACTGATCTTATTTTTTGTACCTGATCATCAACACCGGTGTAAAAAAATCCAGCATCTGCTAACGTCTTAGGTGCGTGCACTCTATCCGCTGGCCACTGAGCAAACGTTGCGAGTCGGGCTGCCAGAGCCGCTTTAGTAGGATGCTTCGCACCACCCCCAACCACTCCTAAGGCCTTCCATTCACCACCCGCTTCTATTACACGGGCATTATGTTCTGCACCCGACCTGCAAGTAAATATGTAAGACAAAGACAATAAATGTATATTATCATTTATTAATCAATCTGTATGTACAGAGCACAATTAAATATGCATGCATATCGAGAGAAACTGCACGTATTTGAATGTAACTTAAATAAGGAATGAAAATATGTATAATAAATATGTTCGTACTGGTTTCTGATCGTGACTGCATCCATATAATGTGTTTATTATAGCCCTTAGACCTAAAGTGTTGTAACAACACATTCAGTAAGATATTTAATTTGACAATAGTACACAAGCAACTAGATATTATACTAGTAAAATATGTGGACTTTGCTTAGGAATTTTTTACATGTTTCTTGCTTAATATTAGTTACCATACAATATTTATCACCTTTTATCAAACTCAGAGAAATAGGATTACTAAAACTCATTTCTTAGCAGTACTGGTGGGCTGTATTAAGAAATCAATAAGAAAATAGGCTCTATCAAAATTTTTGCACTTTAAATCTTAGTATTTTTAACACATTGAAAACTCAGGACAAATTATTTTATATAATACTAGCGACTCACTCTCGCTTCGAAGGGATGATTTCCGGAATAAAAAATATCCTATGTCCTTCGCAGGGTCTCAAACTATCTTCTTAACAAATTTCATCTTAATCGGTCCAGTATTTTTTGAGTTTATTCGTTACAAACATACAAAAATACAAATCTTTTCTCTTTATAATATTAGTGTACATTAATTATAAAAAAAACAGGAACATAACCATACTCACGACTGAGGTCTATTAGCTACCGAAGGCGATTGAATTGGTGGTGTATAGGAAGGAGGTGAATCAGGAGGAGAAAACTCTGCCAGACGCCGTTCTTCCTCTAAGGCTATTGCATGTTGGCATCGGGGGAAGTACCTACAATCAATTTCAAAAAACGCCTTTAGTTGGTAAATTTGATACTGCTTATACATAAATGACAATAATTTGGTTTAAAACCCGATGTTGCTTTAGCTAACCTTCATGAAAATATCATAAGCACTCTCATCTTAAGAAATATTCATAAAATTATATACCTAAACCTTAACAGATGGTGAAGATGTAGATAACAGATCAAGAACAATACCAACCCATACCATCTACACAGACCGATCCAAAAACGATACTACTAGCCTTAACAAAAAACACAACAAAATCAAAATACATATTAGAATGTCACAAAACTTTAGAACACCTCTCCAAAACCAATAAAGTAAAACTTTCTTGGGTAAAAGGACACCTAATAACAAAGGCAATTTTACTGCCGACAACCTAGCTAAACAAGCCTCAAGACTAAAATTACAAGGACCTACACCTTTAACCCCAATCCCCTACTGTGAATATAAATCATGGTTACATGACCAAACTAACATAGCAGTTGACACAACATGGAAGGCAAATACGGACTGCCGTCAATCAAAAGAAGCCTTTCCCAAACCTAACAAACACTTAACAACTAAAGTAACACGCCTAGATAGACCTAAACTAAAAACTGTGACGGAACTTATAACAGGACACTGCCATCTCAACAAACATCTTTTCAATATATGTCGGACAGACAGCGCCCTGTGCAGAGCGTGTCTTCAAAAAGATGAAATACCGACTCACATTTTGTTAGAATGCAGTGGACTGAAACACTTACGCGCAGAAAAACTCGGCCCCAAGAGAGCGCTCCCAGAAATCTTCCAGGAAACGGGCAACCTGCTAAACTACTGGGACTGTCTGGGGTGGAAAGAATAACACACAGTAGTACAAGCTCACGTACAACGGGCAAACCTGCCTAAGTATGGAAAAAACCATGCAAGAAGAAGAAGAATACCGAAACCTTTTAGTAAAACGTTCAGGTTATTGGGGAAAACTATGACTTTGTATGAGTTGGCAACAAACAACTAGAAAAAATGAAAAATTAACTTCGTCTTACTACACATATATCTAATATTTATAAATAAAACATTGCAATTCTCAAAATATGACCTTTAATTGTCTTTGTTTTTTGTAGTTGTTTATATTAATATTTAAAAAATCTATATTTCAATCCTTCATAGAACAAACTATGCATCACTTATAAGGTCAATTACATTACAATGATAAAAACAAGGGCATGTGTTATACAACTTCTTATGAACATTTGTCATTATTAATATTACAAGCCCTGAAATACTTACATTCTGTGTATTTCTAATGGTGTACCAATTGAACCTAAATTTCTCATAGGTGCAATCTCACCTCCACACCAAGCACACCTAATTCTTCCCTCTCCAGCATGATAAAATCCAGCACTAACCAATTCTTCTCTAGGTACTGATGGATCCTATGAAATTTTAAGTTATGATTACATTTTATTTATTTTATAATGGCACATAAACAAAATTTCATTAAAAATATTACCTAAATTATTTATTTTCTTTAATCAAAATTGTTAAATTCATAAATTAAACATAACTAACAATCAGACAAAGACAATAAGACCTTCAAACATAAACTAAAAGTATAAGGTCAAAACTATTAGCTTTTACTAAAAGGTAACCTTTTGATACAATGTTATTTGTATTGTATTTAAAAATAAATATTGTTTTCTAGTATATTTCAAATAAAATTTAATGTTTTATATTTATTAATGGCATACAAGAAGTCTCATAGTTATTGTTACAAATACAAAGATTTTAAATGAAATAAAAATATTACATTATAGAAAAGTATACTTACATCCCAATTTACGAACGATAATAATCGTAATGCATTACTTTTGTACATTTCATCATCTTCAACAAGACCATAATCTGCAGATGAATCAGTATCTCTGGGCTCTTCAATGTGAGGTCTTTCATCAGGATTTTGGATATTACATTCACGACCAATGACTAAAGGTACATTACCAGACAGGAGAGGATTTGAAACAAAAGCGCAGTTCGGATCCATTCGCCTATGTCTCCACATGACCTGGTCTCCGTAATTCCAGTCAGATATTTTACCTCCACAACTAAAACATTCTACTTCTGTACCACTACCCGTGTAAAAAAAGCCTGCCTTAGCTACTCTCACAGGGTCTACAGGTGCTGAAGAAGGCCAATTTGTAAATGTATTTAATCGATTAGTCTCTTGATTCATTATAAAATATTCTAAGCACTAAACAGCTGTTTTTCTTATTATTATAAATACCAAAAAAGTTTTATCTTAATACTATTTCTTCGATTCCTTGATATTATAGTATTGCTAATTTTATTTTCTTCAAAAAAGTGAATCAATAAAGTTGACAACAAGAAATTCTAATTTCATCACAGATGAGCAATCTTTTTGTGCGTTATGTCATTTTGACATAATTCCTTATGTTGCCAGAAACACAAAACTATATATATTAATATATATATATATATATATATATATATATATATATATATATATATATATATATATATATATATTGATTTAGTTTACTATTATTTTAAAAAATCAAAATATTAAGCAACACTATTACTACATAGTTTAACAAATGAAAGATATTAATTTGTCATACTGTAATTTTAGATAATAAAGTCTATATGTGCGTGAAGAAATGTGAAGAAATGTTTAAGTTAAATAGTTTATGTTAATATACTTCTTTTTTAATTAAATTCTAAAAGATTTACTAGGCGCATCGCTATTCAACCGCTTCATCTACAAGTATGTATGAATAGGTGTGTATAGAACATCTGCTTACATTTCGCATAATGGACAATGAGCGATACGCGCGCTCTATAGCACATGTATATTCTAAGGTCAATAGTATTTTAAGATCTGTGCTAAAGTCTTAGATAACAGCTCACAGCTGTGAGCTGTCAAATCACAAATGTCACTTGAGATTGTTATTTTTTACTGAAAGTTTTATTTTGTTGAATAAAAAATCAATAAAAATATCAGTACGAAAATATGTACGGAAAATGCGAGTAACGAAATGCATTCGTGAGTAACGTTTCGGTACTCGGTACTAAGCATGGAAATGATTGCTACTTTTAAATCATTATCACGTGATGAAATTACAACAATTTTTCACGTGATTTCACCTGCTACTTTTCACGCATAGATTTTTGATTTCGACGGTCTGGTGTCACACTTTATATTATTTGCTATTAAAATGAAGTATGAAATGTCACCAATGGCGCTACTGATGTGATATGGAGCAGAGATATAGATCTGACGTAGTTGCATACGTACATGGTGCTTTGAATGAACCTATTTTCAAACAATGAACTTTCCCTCATACTTCTACAGGCTTGGGACTGACAATGTAAAATTAAATGAATTTTAAATATATCAGAGTAATCACACGGTAAAATTGTATTAAGCTAAGTTCCATAATTACATTGGCGTATTTAAAAGTTCATTGTTTTTATGTACAATAAGAATTTTTATAAAAGAATTTTATACACTTTTTTTTTGTTTTTCTTAATTTTTTTAATTTGTTTATAATCATTTTTTTTGCTTTTTGATTTTTTTGATGATTGATTTTTTTATGAGATATCTATAGACAATAGTCTTCATTGCTTTTTAAAAATACAAGTTCCGCTGTTCGTTTTCTGCTTAATCGTGCTCTTTTTTGGGTTGCAAAATTTCCCGCTTTTGAAAATACTCTCTCACACTCCACTGATGTCACCACGATGTGACAGTGCTCATGAAATATTTCCGCCAAATTGGGGTACATATAGGAGTGAGATTTCCACCAAACTAATGGCGAAGAATCGCGCGGAAGTACTGGTTCATTAATAAACATTTCTAGCTCGTTCTCAGCGTTGGCGGTTATGTCTGTACGTATTACACATAATCATTCAGTAAAAATTATAAGTATTTGTTGGATAAAAAACTAAAAATGTGCTCTAAATTTAATTGTTGTTTCTAATTTAAAATTATTTCTAAACAATATTTCTAAGAATCCGAAATCATGCAACTCGAAATAAAGAAACTCCCCAATTTACTGATCAACGGTATTAACTGAAAATTGTATTTTGTTGAATAAAAAATCAATAAAAACATCAGTACGAAAATGTATACGGAAAATGCGAGTAACGAAATGCATTCGTGAGTAACGTTTCGGTACTCGGTACTAGATGGCGTACCCGTTACTCAGTAACGAATACATACGGTTTGCTACAGCTCTAGATTTCACCAAGTTGTGATTTGTAGCAGCCACTATGAATTTAAGTAGCAGGTGTGACGTATGATTACGCATTTCACGTGATTTTTCACTTGCTACTCGTGAAATGTTCCATCCCTACTCGGTACTAGGTGGCGTACCCGTTACTCAGTTTTATTTGTCATCCATGCTCAGTACTAAGCATGGAAATGATTGCTACTTTTAAATCATTATCACGTGATGAAATTACAACAATTTTTCACGTGATTTCACCTGCTACTTTTCACGTATAGATTTTTGATTTCGACGGTCTGGTGTCACACTTTATATTATTTGCTATTAAAATGAAGTATGAAATGTCACCAATGGCGCTACTGATGTGATATGGAGCAGAGATATAGATCTGACGTAGTTGCATACGTACATGGTGCTTTGAATGAACCTATTTTCAAACAATGAACTTTCCCTCATACTTCTACAGGCTTGGGACTGACAATGTAAAATTAAATGAATTTTAAATATATCAGAGTAATCACACGGTAAAATTGTATTAAGCTAAGTTCCATAATTACATTGGCGTATTTAAAAGTTCATTGTTTTTATGTACAATAAGAATTTTTATAAAAGAATTTTATACACTTTTTTTTTGTTTTTCTTAATTTTTTTAATTTGTTTATAATCATTTTTTTTGCTTTTTGATTTTTTTGATGATTGATTTTTTTATGAGATATCTATATACAATAGTCTTCATTGCATTTTAAAAATACAAGTTCCGCTGTTCGTTTTCTGCTTAATCGTGCTCTTTTTTGGGTTGCAAAATTTCCCGCTTTTGAAAATACCTCTCACACTCCACTGATGTCACCACGATGTGACAGTGCTCATGAAATATTTCCGCCAAATTGGGGTACATATAGGAGTGAGATTTCCACCAAACTAATGGCGAAGAATCGCTCGGAAGCACTGGTTCATTAATAAACATTTCTAGCTCGTTCTCAGCGTTGGTGGTTATGTCTGTACGTATTACACATAATCATTCAGTAAAAATTATAAGTATTTGTTGGATAAAAAACTAAAAATGTGCTCTAAATTTAATTGTTGTTTCTAATTTAAAATTATTTCTAAACAATATTTCTAAGAATCCGAAATCATGCAACTCGAAATAAATAAACTCCCCAATTTACTGATCAACGGTATTAACTGAAAATTGTATTTTGTTGAATAAAAAATCAATAAAAACATCAGTACGAAAATGCATACGGAAAATGCGAGTAACGAAATGCATTCGTGAGTAACGTTTCGGTACTCGGTACTAGATGGCGTACCCGTTACTCAGTATTATTATGCTACAGCTCTAGATTTCACCAAGTTGTGATTTGTAGCAGCCACTATGAATTTAAGTAGCAGGTGTGACGTATGATTACGCATTTCACGTGATTTTTCACTTGCTACTCGTGAAATGTTCCATCCCTACTCAGCAGTGTTGGATTTCGTAGTATAATTATACTATTTGTACCATTATTTCATAGTGTGTAGTATGTAGTATCGTATTGCCACTATACTACGTAAAAATACCATAATTTTATCTTTAGGTCGACCGACTTGTATTATTGGTGGGTACTTTTACTTTTTAATATTAACTCTACAATCTCGGGAATTTCTGAACGTACGGCAACACCAAATCAGGCAATGACAAGGTAGGCGGGGTTTCCCCATGTGATGTTTTACTATTCCATCCGTTCTGACATTTTTGTCATAAACATAATTGGACCGAATTATAAATAACTGCGAGAGAGACGATATCTCACGGTAATGTAAGATGTAATATTACCGTCATATCATGTTTTGACTATGTATAAAACTTGACAGTGAATTGTTGCAGTATCTAACATTAGTATAAAGTTATAAACTAGTACAATATTGTAGTGTGTGACGTGTGCACATTATTGTTTCTTACGCTTTGACAATTTTGAGAATAAACTATTTTGTAGTCGCAATTTGTAATCATGAGTGAAAGTAAGGGCAAATAAAAGTCACAAAGTGCGGTGTTTCGACGCCAAAGAAGAAACGCGTTGAAAGGGGCGATTTAAAAGTGAAGGAAAAACATAGACAACAAAAATACAGAGTCGAATGGGAGAGTGATCCAAAATTTAGTAAGTGGCTTACTCGTGATCCTCAATATAATTTCAAAGCACGATGTAAAGTATGTAATGTTTCAATGATGGCCGCAAAGCATGTTTTATCGACTCATTCTGAGGGGAAAAAAACGAGAAAAAATTATATTCATCATCAAAATTGTATATTGAAAGTAGATTTGTTTAACAAATTCTTTTCCATTGTTTTTTTTCTCTTTCAATTGTAATACTTATGCAAGTTTATTTCAATTCAATACAAAAACGCCGTAAAACGAAACGTGAAAAACATGAAACGTCAAACGTAGTATAATTTTGGACAAGTAGTATAATTTTATTCTCTATGTACAATATTTTTTTGAGGCTCTGGATCCAACCCTGCTACTCAGTACTTTTATTTGTCATCCATGCTCAGTACCGAATACATACGGTTTGCTACAGCTCTAGCCTCTAGTTATTTGTTTGTGATTCTGTCACATCACATGTGCTATTGCCGATTAGTGACTTTTAATAGCTATATAAATTAAATAATTGCTATAGTATCACTTTATTATTCATCTCTATACGATACAATATCAACCTAAGTTTAAAATTGACGCGCGAGTTATAAATTACTGAAAACAGAGCTTGGTTTAAAATGATATTTGTTATCGGTATAAGCATTTTACTGCTATTAATTCTAGTGATATTTGTATTACATCAATGTTTAGAGAAAAAAATTGTTTATAAAGATTTAAAAAATAGGCACGTTATTATAACTGGTGGATCTAGCGGTATTGGTAAGGCAGTAGCAATTGAAGCAGCCAAATTAGGAGCCCATGTTACCATAATTGGTCGTGATATTCCTAAACTTATTTTGGCTGTTACTGATGTGATAAATAATTGTACACCGTATAGTGGACAAAAAATACAATATTCTTCTTTAGATGTTACATCCGATTATAATTCAATAGAAAAGACTTTATCCAAATTAGAAAATGATGTAGGACCAATATTTATGTTAGTTAATTGTGCTGGAATGTGCATTTGTGGACAATTTGATTCAATGAAAATTCAAGAAATAAAACAGATGATGGATCTGAACTATTTCGGGACGGCCTATCCTACCAGATATGTATTACCAGGAATGAAAGAACGCAATGAAGGCTTAATTGTGTTTGTATCTACAGAAGCTGCATTATTAGGTAAATATAATTTTGTATAATACTAGCTACTCACCCTCGCTTCTCTCAGGTTCGTCCCTGGAATAGATAGACTATTTGTGTCGTAAATTGACTGTGCTTTTTATTATCTTACTGATATTTCATGTCCTTTATCAATATTACATATCGTATACATTAGGGTGTGCCAAAAAACGACATTTTTTTTTTCTTCACTGTCACCCCAAAATATCTCAGAAAATGTCCCAACAGAGCTCCTGTTAAAAGCGGAGCTCAAAATTCCAATTCTAAGAGTTCTCCATCGAATTTTATGTTTTCCTATACGAATTAAATGGAAAACATGGCTTTTAATACTTTTTTGTCCTGCAAACTGTGACGAAAATATTTTTCAAAAAAATGAATGAATGGATCATTTTTAGCATTAAATTTACTACAAAAAGTTTCATTAAGTTGAATTTCTATCTTCAATATTTGATTTGTTATATAGCTTTGAAGTTCAAATTTATAGTTTTTTGCATTTTTTAGCTAAACTGTAAAAGTTACAGAAAATTTTTAAATAGGAAATTTGTAGTATGTTTAAAATCCTATAAAAAGTCTTTGTCAACTTTTTCATATCATCAATAACAACAGGCTCACGAATATTTATTTTTTCAAATTTTTGCTTTTACGAACTGAAAAATTTACGATGGTAAATTATGTCGTAAATTGACTGTGCTTTTTATATCTTTCTGATATTTCATGGCCTTTATCAATATATTTTATAATAAGTATAGTTGAAAAATCATAAAAATATGTCAAATAAGTCTGTAAATACTGATAATATAAAATATCTGATCTTTCCAATTTTGTTGCAAATTTTATGTAAGTGAAAAAATTTAATACTAAAATCATTCATTCATTTTTTTGAAAAATATTTTCGTCACAGTTTGCAGGACAAAAAAGTATTAAAAACCATGTTTACCATGTAATTTGTATGGGAAAACTTAAAATTCGATGGAGAACCTCTTAGAATTGGAACTTTGAGCTCCGCTTTTAACAGGAGCATTGTTAGGATATTTTCTGATATATTTGGGGGTGCGAGTGAAGACAAAAAAATATCGTCATTTTTTGGCACACTCATTGTACATAGGTATGTTGTGGGTTATATTTTATCTGTGAAACTGTATGAAGCGGGTTGAAACCCTGGATCTCGCACCTCAGAATTTTCATATGTGAATAATTTCCAACATGATTCACACTTGTCTTATGGTGAAGGAAAACATTGTGAGTGTGTTCTGCGTGTCTGAGAGAACCCAACTAGTTTTCAAAAGACACGTAGTCTGCCAACTCGTACTTGGCCAGCGTGATGGACTATAGCCTGATCTCCCTCATATTTAAAGGAGGCCTGTGCCCAGCAGTGGGACTTTAAAAAAAGGGCTGAATGAATATATGATATTATAATATTATTATATGGTATGATTGGATAGGAAATTTAAAATCGTATTTTTGCTTTAAATAAATGCATAGTTATAATTTTTCGTAATTTGTTTTCTGTTTCTGTATGTAAAGAAATAAAATAAAGAAAAAATATTTTTTTTAGGAATATATGGTTACAGTGCTTATGGTGCTGCAAAATGGGCTGTTCGTGGCTTGGCAGAGTCTATTTTTATGGAACTGGTTGGGACTAATGTCAGATTGACTCTAGCTTTTCCACCAGATACTGACACTCCAGGATTTAAAAATGAAGAACTAACAAAACCTAAAGAAACAAAACTCATATCAGGATCGGGAGGACTTCATTCAGCTGAAAATGTAGGCAAAAAACTATTGCGAGACTCATTGGTAAGTCTATTTAAGTTTGAACAAGATTTTTAACAAGACTGCTGACTTCAATTTTAATATTTTACAAGTCATGGTGAGATCGTTGTACTCTTGTCTCGTTATCTTTATATAGATCAATTTAAATGTGAGTACTAAATTGGTAATAATAAAAAAATATTAGTCTCTATTGGTTGTTTTGGGACTACATAATAATCTATACTATTATTATAAAGATGTAAAGTTTGTGAATTGTGAGGTTGTGACGTTGTAGGGGATAATCTCTGGATCTACTGAACCAATTTAGATGAAATTTGGTAAGAAGATAGTTTGAGACTCTGGGAAGGACACAATTTTTATTCCAGAAATCATCCCTTAAGATGGTGAAAATGGGGATGAAAGTTTGAAATGGGGATGAAAGTTTGTATGGGGAATCCCTATGAAATAGAATAGGGAATATACATGTTATTTAAATAAAGGTGACAATTTTTTTGTAATATTTATTGCTTTTTAATTAAGCTTATATCAATATTTTTTAATGTAATTTCTTTTTGATTAAGAAAATAATTATTGAAAAGTGCAAAAATAGGTGGGAAATTCAAAGTAATTGAAACACTACACCATTGATCAGACAGAATGTGACATCAAAGTCTATAATAACCTGGAAGCACTGTTGTTTGGTGTTTGCGATTGTTACTAACAATCTAGACCTGTTCACTCATTGATTGCAATGTTGTCATAGACTATGACATCACACCAAGTGTGTCAAAATGGTAGGCGTTTAAAGTGTTCGTATCTGTATGATATTTAAAAAAAATTTACAATAAATTTTAGTTTTTAGGAGCTGAATATTTTTCCAATTATATAACGATATAAGCTATTGTATAAAAAATAAAAAAAATCACGCACTCCCTATTTGCTAATACAAAATTAACAAAAAATTATTAAAAATACAAGAATGTATTAAAAAAATAATAAAAAATGAATTGAAAAAAAAGTAAAAAAATTCTATTTAAACTAATTAGAATGTATAATTTTAACATATGCCTATTAAATTTGATGATTCCCAATTTATACAAAATCTGATAGTATGTGAATTCACATCACACCAGTTAAAAATAACTTATAAAAGAAATCTTGTAGGTGCACAAAAAATCAATTGAATTCTGAACTTTTGTCCCATTATTTTAAAATTGTAATAAAAGGACTTCCATGTTTGAGTTATATGTTTAAATGAATCTTATAAATACACGCAGACAGCTAAATAATTATTTAATTATTTTATTTTTAAGATACTTGTTTGAGTTTTAGATTCTAAGTACTATGATCATTTGGTCTGTACATTCTTTGTTTTGAAATCAGTTTATATTAAAGAAATATTAACATATAACTTTTTTATATGATGAGCTTGCTGTTATATTTTATTTTGATCTTTCAGAATGGCAGAACATACTCAGTTTTTGGATTCAGTGGTTATTTGCTTTCTACTTTGTATTGTGGGACTATTGACAGTGTAACACAAGTAATAGTACAAATATTATCTATGGGTATCATTCGAGCTATTATGGTTGGTATACAACTTTCTTTCCATAAAATTGTTAGAGAAGGTTTAAAAGAGAAAGAAGTAGAGAAAGTAAACAAAGAGAAAAGTCAATAAAATCATCTTCAGCTGGTTAAATAGTTACTATTTTTTATTATGTTTTATTTAGGTAAAATTCTACCAAAGTCCACATAACTTGATTATTTTTCTTACTATTTAAAATCCTTGTTCAATGCCCTTATATAATATGTAAATAACTATAGCAGTGTTATTTTACATTTTTGTTATATATACTTATTTCATTTCATGTTCATGTCATACTCATTATATTGTTACAAGTATGTTAGTATTTAGTTTGTGATTATTTTGTTTAATTGGAAGGACAACTTTTAATGTTTACACAAAAGTTGGCCTTTATTTGCATTTTCGATGCCCACTAAACTAAAAATAAATATGTAACAAAGTATATTAAGTTTGCATGTTTTAAAATTGTATTTTATGTAACATGCATTTAGTATCATATGTATATCTTAATGATACTTGTTAATAATGTTAATTAAATTTAGAAAAATATACTTTTTTGAAAATATTTCTTTTATTTAATTATACTAATACAGTATACACAATATACCTTTGTAGTTGTAATAATAATAAAATAACATTTTTGTATCATTATGATTTTTTTTATATTGGTGCTGACTAGATTTTTTCTAGTGGTTGTTTGCGATTTTCTTTTAGTGTTTTTATGTTGTCTGTGACGCTTGACAGTACATCTTATTTAGTAGTAATAGTTCTATAATTACTTTATTATTCTGTGGATACTTTGATCTACACTTCTTAGGACATTAATATTTAGAATTATATTCTATTAGAATAATGAAGAACTAGAAAGTTACCTTATAGGCAGAGTTTATTTTTATTACTCGCCAGTTGGGCAATCTGATCACCACTAATAAAAAATGTTTATAAATATTAAGTAGTACAGTTATTTTGTTGGTAATGTAGCCGAAACCCACGTCCGGAGTAAATGCCGTCAGATCTGAACCATACTAAGATAGGTCCAGCGCCATCATCTGAAAAGATAAGATTTAAAATTATAAAGATTTTATTTGTGATAATATGTTATAGATATTTTTTTATTATTTGAATACTAGCGACGCACGCTCTTCTATCTTTCTTCAAACTTTCAACCTCATTTTCACCCCCTTAAGGGATGAATTCCGGGATAAAACTATCCTATGTCCGTCCCAGGGTCTCAAACTATCTTCTTACCAAATTTCATCTAAATCGGTTTAGTAGATCCAGAGATTACCCCCTACAATGTCACAACTCACAAACTTTACCTCTATAATATTAGTATAGATTTTTAAGTCTTTCTAAAGTGCAGTTTGAAAAATCGTAAATATCGGAAATAGAACCTCGGTCATATATTTGGATGGGCCTAAAATAAAGTGACGGCGAGTCACTTTTCTTAAAGTAAGTGATCCTGAAGTTAGTTTTATCGATCTTAACTAAATTTTTGTCGAGATTGATGAATAAATTAACAGACAAAAAGTGCTAGACAAACAAAAAGTTGAAGTTTTTATCTATGACTACAATGCATAAATTATTTTGCAAGTGTCTATTTTTTAAGATACCTACATCATATTGAGCTTATATTATTATTTTTACAATACATATATAATTTTATAGGATTGAGAATTTTGAAGAAATTTGAAGTGTTAAACGGAGATTTGTTTCGGCATGATTAAACTATAAAAATAAATTCACCTTGAATTACCTAAAAACAAAAAAATAAAATAAAAAAACATTCATTAAAATTAATGATTTGATTTGAAACATTCATGATTTGATTTTTGTATTTTAAAAGTCTGAAATATGTTTAGCAAACATCAGAATGTTTTGTTTGACGTTTCTAAACATGCATGCTAATATTATAAATGTGAAAGTGTGTTTGTTTGTTTGTTTGTTTGTTTGTTTGTCTGCTTGCTTGTTTGACCTTTTTTCACGTCGAAACGTAGTGACGGATTGGCGTGATTTTTGGTGTGGAGATAGTTGGAGGGCTAGAGAGTGACATGGGCTATTTTACCGCGTGAGATTATCTAATTCCCACAGGAAAATACGTTATAAAACAATCTAAAAATATTTATGATAAGAATTACTTACTTGAAACTTGGTATTAATGCTTTTTAATAAAATTAATAAATACGTGTTTTAGCATTTTCCGAAATTCATCCTGGTAAAATTGGGGATGAATATGAAACTTTTTAGAGATTTGTTTGTAGTTTTAGCGCGAGCTAAGCCACGGGTCCTGCTAGTACGAAATAAAACAATTACCTAAGATTTTGATTACTCCTTGATTTTAATATAGATAGGATAGGTATTAGAGATAATGTCTGGGAATATTACATAATAAAGATTAAATTTAAATAAACGTAGATGCCTATGAGGTTTATCTATCTAAAAATAGTAATTTAAGGACGTACCTGTAACTGGTGCGTCCAAAGAAAAATCCTGTAGTACGGAACCATCATTAAGTCTTTCACCGCAAAGTCGTAAAGCGGATATTAAGAGCCAATCGCTTGGACAGTCAAATATTTCTACTCCTGCTTGCTGCGGTGGTAGTATTGGTAAACCATCTGGAAATTATATAAAAAATGTTTTTATACTAGCTACCAGCTTCTTTTTCATCTCAAACCACTACTGGTGGTATTATTCGGATGCTTCAAAGATCAAAACTATATACGAGTAATATAATACTAAGTTTTATTATATATGACATCTTAATACTACCGACTAATAAGGCGCGGATATGGGACTGAAGTCTGGAGTATCTCGGAAACTGTACATCAAATATATTATAAATAATAAAAAGAAAATAAATAATTTGGGTAACTGGGCACACACAAAATAAACACAAAACACATAATCACCCCCTTTTTGAGTCATTCCATATGAAAACGTCTGATTGGCAAAGTTAAGTAATTTAAGATTTTGCTCTGACTTTAACATAAAAAATATTAGCTTTCTCCTTTAAAATGCCATCTCAAACGTATGATATCTTGAATAATAAATTTTTTACAGCTAAAATTGATCAAGCATAAAAATGACATTTCTTGAAAGTCTAAATTCGGATAGGCGGAAACGGGCGCATATAAATATAAAATAAGCGTAAATTATGTTCTTAGGGATCCCAAGGAACAGTCCCTCAAAGTTAGAGCAAAATCTAAAACGGGCCAGCAATATATTTTTTTTATTTTCAGACGTTTTCATATGGAATGACTTTTGGAAGTCGGGTAACATAGTTTATTTCGCAGCTATACTGAAATGAGTAACCAAAAATATCAAGTCCATATTAAGTTATAACTGGATGTTAACAAATAAACGGGCGAATACATTTTATTCAGGGTGACTAAGTTCAATAATAATTAGCAGTTATTTCAAAATCACAGATAGATTTCAAAGATAATAGGTAGGTGCAAATTACAAGATGGGATAAAAAAAATTGGAATATTAGAAGAAAAGCACAGTCTTTAACTAAGTAAAACGACAAATGGAATAGTAATAAACGACCTGTAAAAAGTAAACAGACCTGTGTCGTAGTTAACTATTTGCATGTCTCCAACGTTCGTGTATGCCACGCTACATGAGGCTGGTTTACGCTCGATGCATATAGCGTAGTTCAAATTGTTCTACATAACAAAAATATTATATATTATATAAAATAACTGCCTCGGTGGTGTTGTGGCAAGGATGTACGGCTGCACACTCGGAGGTCCTGGGCTCGAGTCCCGGGTCGGGCCAAGTTTAGTTATTGAGTCTTTCTGTATAGTAAGTCTCAGTAACAGCCCGGAGTTGGGAAGTTGGCGGTGTTTCACCCCCGTGCCTCAGAGAGCACGTAAAGCCGTCGGTTCTGCGCCTTAACTCTCACTGGTCGTGTCGAGCAGTCGTCCCACCGGAGTATGAGAGTGACAGGAATAGAGAGTGTACTTGTGTCTGCACGTACACTTGTGCACTATAATATCTCCTGCGCAGTCTCAATAAGATTGGCTGCCGTAGCCGGAATCGGCTAGGAGAACATCATCATTATATAAAATATTTTTTTTAATATAAGGTATACCTACTTGGTTATACTAAATGAAATTACAATCATAAAAGCCACACACACAAAAAATCACACCAATCCGCCAAGCCGTTTCGATGTGAAAGAAAGACAAACAAACACACTTTGACATGACATTTATAATATTAGGTATGGATTTAATAACATTATTTAGTGACCGTCGCCATTCGCCACACGCTAACAACCAGTCCACATTGTTCTATTTAGTTGTTCAATAACATATTATAATGTATCGTTTATGTTAATTTCCTATTAACCTTAACATGATACGATTATTACAAGAAATATGTGTACCAAGTAAGAGGGCGTCCTTGTTATTCCTATTTCAGTACTATCGCGGTAATTAAATGATTCTACATATCCATGATCTTCCTTAAAGTATTGAAGACAACCAGTAGGAGCAGATAAGGCATCATATGAATTCAACTGTGTTATCTGCGAAATAAAAAAAAATAATGCTACCTATTAAAAATTAATATCATCAACATAATCTTGACTTTCATATGCTACATTATCTGTCACGTAGGTACATAACTAAATATTTTGATACGAGTATGTATTTAGTACAAGTAACACTGTTCCATACATACTACGTTATCACTACATATTATAAAACTAAGTTCTCCGCCGCGTCTGTCTGTGAATCGCGATATACTCAAAAATTGGATAGAGTGGTTCAAAAAAAAATTTCAATTTTTCAGTACAAATCGGTAATTTCATACTTTAACCTCTATTAAATTGTCTTTAGTAGCGAAGATAAATTAATCTTAAGATTTTCTGTGCTCTAATGTAATATAATAATCTATACTATAATAAATCTGTAGAGGTTGAATTTCTGTACATCAGAATAACAAATGGCTACTTTTATTTCCGGAAAAATGTAAGGTTCCCGTAGGATAGATTCCTTTTTGTTTGTCTAGAGAACCCGAGCGAAGCGAGGGTGAGCCGCTAGTCATATAATATGATAAGTACAAGAATAGGTACCTTAGTCATTAGGTACAAGTTAAAAACTATCACCATAAGTAACTCTTAAGCAGTTTAATATCAGAGACTTAAATTTTTCAATTTTATTAGAAAATATGTCGATATCCGAGTTTCTGTGTAAGATATTATATTGTTTCAATATTCTATTTATGGGAGAATAAAGTTGTTTGCGCATTGATAACTTACGGGGTGCTTACTCTCTTTTGTCTCTATGATTAAATAGGTTTCTAGTTTTATAATTTAATCTTAATCAGTTCAGTGCAAAAGTTACCAATTTAAATCAAAACGGTTTGGTCAAAAACAGGAAAATATATTTTTTTAATAAGTACGTGTGGTTAACAACATAAAAATAAACAGTTGGTATGTACCTACAATTAAGTTACAGTGAGGTACAGTACAACAAAGTTGCAATAATTACAATAGGAACTTATTCAATATACAATTTTTACAAGGCTGTTTTTACACTGACTTGATATTTTATATAAATATTATGTAGTTTGGAACATTGTACGTATACATATATTGGGGGTGGGCAGATTCCCTACCAGCAAGGCGCAAGACTAACGAAGACCGATAGTTATGTATCTTACCTAAACTCTAAAGTATCGATAATAGTATCAAGAGACAACGTAGTACCTAATTAGAACTTTTACCTTTCCTCATAAGTGAGTACTTAGTGGGTGTGTTTTAAACTTACGTCCTTAGCAACGCTGGATTTACACTAGGGGGACTCGTGGTAGTGCCCCTGCCCAGGGCGGCAAATTTTTAGGGGCGGCAAAATTCAGAGAGTGGGAAAAAAAATTCTTCGCGTTATCGAAAATGTTTTTTTTATTTGCAAATAACGAAAAATAAAAAAAGATTAACTAGTTGGTACATTTATCGAAAAATTGATATCATGTATAAATTATTTCTTTGCATTTAAAAAAAAATTAACTCTCAACATTTTATTCAAAATTTAGATAATAGGGCAGCATTTTTTACTATGCCCAGGGACGGCGATAAGGTTAAATCCGCCACAGGCTTGGTTATGAAAATAATATAAATATGTTGGGACATTAACACACAACACCATCTAGTTCCATGGTAAGCTACGAGGCTTGTGTTATGGATACCAGATAGTTGATACACTACACATATATAGCTTTAAATACATACATATTATAAATATAAACACCCATGACTGAAGTACAAACATTCATGCTCATCACACAAATGAATGCCCCCAGCGGGACTCGAACCCGCGATCGCTGGCACAGAAAGTAGGGTCTCTACAAACTGAGCCAAACGTGTCGTCAAACAACTAGGTAGGTAAAAACAGCTAGGTATATTTATTAATAAAATGTCTTTAAAATTACCTTAATAGCAAATAAACGATTTTCCGAAGATATAGTTTGGAAAGAAAATGTTATTGGGCCCACCGATTCCGAAATTTCAATATACACTAAAACATAAAAGCTTTAATTATTATTTTATACATGGGCGAATTGTTAAATATGTATACCTATGTTATAATAAACAATATGTAAATAGTAAGTAGGTACATTTCCTTACTTACAACTTTACAACACTGATTTAAACACTAGATAAGAAAAAAAAGATTTTTTTATTGATGTAGACTTGTTAGTGAGTACCTATATAGATAGTCTTACGCTATTTCCATTTTTATTGTGTACCTATAAAATAGTCTGTAGACATCACGTTTAAATAAATATCTAAAATAACGTACTGTGTTGTCCGGAGTTTATTCCACAAAGTATAGGTATTACGTTATTAACATTTTGTCCCGTTACTGAAAATTGATCTTGTTCACAAGTCCCAGCTGTTGGTGGTAGAATCTAAAATGATTATTAACAAGAAATAATTTACATATATTATAAGATTTTGAAGCTATTCTGTTAGAAAAGGCGATATATAACTGTAGGGAAAATAATTAAACCTTTTCCAGCTTCTTTTAACCAATTTGTTACAAAGGACCATTTACCTCGTTTATTAGGTATATAAAAGTTTTTATAAAATCTATTTTAGTCTTAGTGTTCTGAGATTCCTATAAAAACGAATTAACATACCTACTTGAACTTTTAAACATATGAAATAAAATACGAAGGTTATTGTAATTAAGTTTTTTGTTATTTTAATTGTACCTCAAATGTCATGAAATCTAGTCGGAGTTGTTTAACATCCGCTGATGTTTTATCCAACGTAAATGCACACGACAATCTGTCTGTACTCGGTCCTGGGTAGTTGGGATTTGTAAACCAGCCAGTCGGTGCTGAGGAGCGAGTGTCACATTGTAAGAGAACTAAAACATACCACAAGAAATAAGGATGATACGGTATAAAGAAAAATGAATATCAAAACATAATTAAGATCCTAAATGATATTAAATAAAAACGTTGACATCACAAAAAAACCTATTCCTTAGTCATTTAGAAGAAGAAAACTTAAAATTTAATGGAAAAAACATGGTATTGTTAAAGTTTACTTACTAATACAGCAAGTTCCGTATCCATCGGCGCAAGCCCCCATAGCGGTACCATTTATTTTTTGACAGTCATATTCGTGAAGACAAGTGCCTTCTAGACCGGTACTAGAAAAACAAGCAATGTGTTCAAATTGAACCACCTCAAATACTTCCAAAATCCTACTTTGAACAGCTTTGCTGGAATTGAGACATTTTTGCTTTGGTGTTTGCGGACATCGTCTTCGTACTAATTTGCCTTTTGATCGACTAGATGTATTCTTAAAGTTTTCTGCATCATTGAGGAACGTATTGCTATTTCTATTGCTTTTAGAAATGGGCATATTAGGGGAATTCATAATTGATATTTGCAATGGATTAGATGGCTTATATTCCGAGCCCTGTGTACTTATATAGACAGAAATGTCATTTCCACTTGTACTGTTCAGATGTCTTGTTGTTGTTATATACCTGCTTTCTTGATCATTTTTGACGCTATTTAAATTCAAGCCTTGTATATCTGTTGTAGGATACCAGCTCTTACACTCTATATACGAAACACTAAATAAAAAAATTATCAAACATTTAGTATATTCCATTTTCACATAATACCCAGTGCAGAGTCAAATATAAACTAAGATAGTTTATAAGAAATAATGATTTTGCACATGGTCGTGGGGACAGCATGCCGGATCTAATTAAATGTCTTAGAAACTGTTATACTTTACTTATTTGACATACTTAAATACTGTCGAGACATTTTCTTTTGACGATTATAATTATATATTATTTACTGGGTAAAATGAATACTAGCTATGCAGACTGCAGTAGATAACGACGAGCACTGGTTTCGCCCTGGTATAAAGTGACATAGATAGACAAACATACTTACACTAAAACTCGAACACTAAATTTAAAAATAATCCATAGTTTTAGATTGTACGCGTCATGTCGTACGTTGATTTAATTATAAAAAAGCCTTCTCAGGCACATTTCACGAAAGCTTCATTGTTATAACATATTTGTTGGTACATTCGTTTATCTATACTAAGAGGTAAAGTTTGTGAGTTTGTGAGTTTGTGACGTTGTAGGGGGTAATCTCTGGATCTACTGAACCGATTTTCAAAATTCTTTTACCAATAGAAAGCCACGTTCTTCCTGAGTGTCATAGGCTATATATTAACCTGAAAAATAAAAAGACTTTTTCGTGGTAGTCGGATTTGCAAAGTAAGTCGGAGAAAAAACGGTCGAACGAAAACGTTTCTTACGAACGCTGCCTTAATGATGAGAGATATATGATTATGTTCTAGAGAAAAGTTGTAGAGCTTAATAATGCCTACAAAAAAGTCAGCGACAGCATATGTGTAACTTTTATATTTAAGTCACAAAAAGTAGTTTTTTATAATAAAAATAATTTTATCGGTAGGTCATGTTTATTGGTCATATTATCAACAATTCTGAATTCTTATCAAAATAAGTAAATTTATCGTCTAAAATGTTTAAAACAAAAGACTTTTCCCTTTTACTGCATATAATTTGGACAAATGGTTAAAGAGATAATACGACATACACGTAGGTATGGAACCGCGACCGCTTCGTAACCTATTGAGTGATATTTCTATAAGATGTTTTTTTTCAAATAAGTACATATAATACGTCAATCTATCTATACTAATATTATAAAGAGGTAAAGTTTATGAGTTTGTGAATTGTGAGTTTGTGACGTTGTAGGGGGTAATCTCTAGATCTACTAAACCGATTTAGATGAAATTTGGTGAGAAGATAGGGAACCCTGGGAAGGACATAGGATACTTTATATGGGGAAGCAAGCTAGGGAGGAACCCGAGCGAAGCGAGGGTGAGTCGCTAGTTATACATATGTATGTGTGATTTCTGACTCCTGAGTTATTTATAACCAAGACTTCTTTTAAGATAGTCAATAAAATAGCGGTTTAACTAATTTTAGGTTGCTCCCAAGGTCCACTCTGCTATCAGAGAAGTAACAGAAGCAACCCACTAGGTATACCTAGCACCCACCGCTTGCTTAATACCTATTAATATTAACATTTTACGTGTAAATTATTATTAAAGTTAATAATAAATGAAATAAATGTTAATAAAACTTACAATATTACTGCCATTTACATAATATTAAAAGTCCTTTATCTTTATAAATGACGTGTTTGGGTCACGTTCGCATACATACAAATGCTCTAATATTCAACAAACCACACCTAAATAATTTTAATAATATGTTCATAGTTAATTTGTTTTATAAATTGTGTTTCATTTAAATAATATATTTGTTATTACGGCTCAGTTTAATTTAAACTAAAAAAGAGATCTATATAAATTTATTTTTACCTTAGCTAATTGCATGCCTTGTAGATAATTATATATAAGTACAGATCGCTGGGTAGAAAAGTACCAATACTACCCCAATTTTAACCTTGTAGGTACGTAGTACCTTGGTATATATATACCAATAAAATATAACCTACTTACTATAGGAAATCACATAACGTTGGGGGAAGTAAAAATTAAAAACATTAGTTGAAAGTAGAAAGCATACATAATAATGCCAAAAATGACTTTTATATTTAAACTAGCATTCCCCGCGGCTCCGCCCGCGTTCAGATGACCAAAAACCAAATTCTTAGGTTTTACTTATTAGTATATTCTTACATTGTATTTTTCTTATTTTTTCTCAGAAATGAGATATTTTCCCGCGGTAAAAAGTATCCTATATGTTGACCCGGATAACCAGCTATGACCACACCAAATTTCATCAAAATCCCTCTAGTGGTTTTTCTGTGATGCGGTAACCGACAGACAGACAGACAAAAATTCTAAAAACTATAGATTCGGTTATGTCTATTTCAATAAGATTGTCCAAAAATATTTAATGTACTTACAGATTCGGTTTAGTTACAATTTTATTATATGTATAGATTACTAGTTTATCCTTACTTTAATCAAATTTAATTATTTTAAAAGGTTTTATCAATAGGTACATAGCTACATAGGTAACATATTATAACCATACTGACCTGCTCCATTTATTCACGGCAATCGCCAAGATATAAAATAAGTACTTTCTGATGTAACCCTATGGCGTATTGCACTCATTGTAACAAAGATTGCTTGATTTTTGAAGACAAACGCGTAGTTCGATAGTGTGAAAAGTGGTCCTATATACTTTCATTAAAATACTTATACTATCCATACTAACATTAAAAATGCCAAATAAACTCTGTCCACCTTTTTTTAATTGTTACGTTTTCATGCTCAAACTGCTGAACTACTTTTGATAAATTTTGGTAGGTAGGTATACAGATAAATTAGACCTTGGAGAATGGCGTAGGCTGCCTTTGTCGTGAAAATAAAACTTGGATGAGATGAAATAGGATGTAAGCTTATGGAAAACCCATCATTTTTAAAGTGAGGGGTAGGATACAAATTCATTCAATATGCTTTTGGTAAGAAATAATTTTTCGGTGTTCTTATATAAACCATCTGTAGGCGGTAGGTATAATAGGGATGATTTCAATTATTATTTTTTATTGACCGCGCCGCACTTATGTATGTAGGCTATCATATACCTACTTATACAAAAGTCCAATTTTATATATATATTTAGATATATAAAGGGAAGAGTGGTTCATATTTTGTAATGAAATCATTAAGTGTGAATTGGACTCGAGTGAAGCGAGGGCAGGCAAGCAGGTACGTAATAAAATCTTAATTACATTTACCGCATACAAGAACAGTAATTTGGTAGGTAGGTAGGTAATAGAAGTAAAAACCATAAGTACTGCGCATTGAAAAACAATATAATGTAGAAATAGTTTTCTTGTAAAATTTAATCTTTTATATATATATATAAATAGATAAAAACAAAATAAAAACTTTTTTTTTGTTTAATTGATAAAGGTATAGATAGGTACATATTATATTATCACGATAATTTAATATCATTTGAAGTACGTAATATGAAAATACCCTTATTAAGATATAAGAGCATTTTTAAAACAATTATTAACTGAAGTATTAACTGTCCTTGTTAAACCACACCTATGAATACTTTTCCCAAAGCTCCAGCCTCAATAGTCGCAATATGCGTCATGTGCGTATTCATACACGTGTTGTATATGATACATTGGTACATTATAATATGTATTATCGGACGCTTATATAAAAGCCAAGCCAGGTCTCTTATTATACTATACCGTATTGAGTTTAGAAACACTAACAATGATGTTAAAGGTAAGTTTAAGATTATCTAAATCTTTTATTTTGCTTTTTACTTCTTAGTGCTATAATAATATATTATTACCTATACTATATACAATTGTACATATTGTATAATATAGGAACATAATGGTAGGTAACCTACTTAACTACTTAGGTTACAAAATAATAATATTTAAAAAATATTTGTTTTTATTATTTTCAAATTCCTATCTTCCTGCATAAGACTAGGTTTTTCTTTAAATTAATTAGGTACTAATAGATACCTACTTAATGCACTCACACATTTAAACTTGACGACACATAAACTGAATTTTTCTTTTGATATTTTCTTAATCTACACCACCTACTATTATAATCTTTATAATAGTAGGTGGTGTACCGAATAAACTCAAAAACTACTGGACCGATTTAGATAAAATTTAAGGAGGTAAGATGATAGTTTGAGACCCTGGGAAGGACATAGGATATTTTTTATTTCGGAAATCATCCTTCAAAGGGGTGAAAATGGGGATGAAAGTTTGTATGGGGAATCAAGTATCAACTGTTTTATCATAAAATGATATATTTAAAGACCTTTTAAATTTAAAATTGTTAAGTAAACATTATAAATTGTAATAAAGGCAAAATTGCACAAAAAAATTATTAACTATTTTGGTCCCAAGTTTTCCTTCGTAATTAAATTTGCTTTTCCATAAGTCGTCTAGATATTATGGTACCTTCATCTTTTATAACTGTGCCGCTCTGAAATAAGCGGAATTTTTTTGGAGTTTAACGCGCATTGCGTAATCCCCATAAAATTAGGTACAGGAATGAAGAGGATGGAGAGGAAAAAGCCAGTGCTTACTAATTTTTTATCTTAACATGTTTAAATGTATTTTATATTACTTAATTCTTCCAGGTACTTTTACTGGCGTGCGCAGTAGCAGCCGTTCAAGCAGGGGGGTTGATTACTCCTGCAAGCTACTATGGCTCATACGCTTACGGTGGTTGGAATCCTTACAGCTCTTACCCCGCACAACCAGCAATTGCGACACAACAATCTAATATTCTAAGATCACCTTTCAATTTAGGACAGGTTTGTTTCTCGACAAATTCTGTTTTCTATTCAAATTTATTATTTAAAAGGGTTGGGTGTGTACAGTTGCTAATTATCTTATTTTCTTAAACAATAATTATCAACCAACGAGTTTGTTTTTCGTGATCCTAAGCAGTTCCATCTACAATAAAAGTATAAAGAGCCAGATAAAAAGATACTACATTTTTCTGTGTACTTAATATTAACTTACATTTTTACATACAGGTATCAACGTACTCGAAAGCCATAGACACTCCTTTTTCTAGCGTTCGTAAAGCAGACGTGCGTGTAAGCAACCCGGGATACGCAATCGCACCGTCATACCGCGGATTAGCACCTTTGGTTTCTGCACCGCTAGCTGCTCCAAGGGTGAGGAAAATTTTTACTAATACAAACTGAACTTAGTATTTCCGTACAACGTGATCAATTTACGTCTAATCTAATACACAAAAATAAAGATGTATTTTGCGTGCCTAAATTATTAATCCGATTTAGATGAAACTTAGTCATTAATTGTTGTCTTTAAGTGAAGTTAGATTTATTTAGTTAATTTAATCCTTACTTTTAAAAAAAAAACACAATCACTCATTTGAGTTATAATATGTGTGCGTGTATCACTTTGGACGAAAATATCTAGTTAATAATCACAATTTATATTGGTTTCTCCCTGAAAATGAATATCAAAAAATCAGAACAAGATAGATGGCGCTGTAGTCTGCTTTAATTTTGAAAGTAGTACTAGTTATTATGAAAGTAATTCTAACACACACAACTGACTATTCACGTCTTGAGTCGATTTATTACGCAAATTATTTAATTTCAGGTAACAACAGGTCTTTTGGGTGTGGCGTATTCTGCTGCACCTGCAGTATCTCACATGACATATACTAATGGTCTCGGCCTAGCTTACGCGTGGTAGATTATGAAAATATCTTATTATTTGTTATTATATTTAAATGAACTAAAGATTCCTCTCTTTGTTACCTGTTATTTTTAACATAGATATGTAATTAAATTTTTAATAAATGTATTTAAAAAAATAAGTATAATTTAATATATGTAAATTAATCCAAGTAATAAATGTTGCATTTTTTTTTAAATCTATAAAATGAAATTATAATGAATAATTATAATATATATTACCTAAAATTGAAATAATTTCAATAATATTGCTCACAGCAGATAAAAAAACCATCAGTTATCACTTTTTTTTTACCATCAGTTATCACTTTTTTTTGTTTTATAAAGAAACTTTAATTTCAAAATATGAATGATTTATTAAAAGTTCAATTTAAAGTTAACTTTATAACATTACGACAAGGTATATTTTTGATTCCAAGTAGTTGGTATTTATAGCTACTCATTTGATGGTGTAGCTAAGTGTCGAATGCTGATTTTATCGATAAAATATTTTTAATAATATATAATCATTAATCAATGATAATAGAATAATTATATATGAAAACAAATAACTGATATTATATATATAAAATTGTACATAATTTTGATTTCCACAAAAAATCACGGTTAAAAAATGCAAATAGTGATTGCTTTGGAAATATACAAAATACAAAAATAATGTTTCAAATCGTGCAGGAAGTTTCAGAGATTTATGCACTCAATTAAAAAAACAGTCTTTTTACTTTAGATGTAATAAATGTAATAGTATATTTATTAGAGCTGTAGCAAACCGTATGTATTCGTTACTGAGTAACGGGTACGCCATCTAGTACCGAGTACCGAAACGTTACTCACGAATGCATTTCGTTACTCGCATTTTCCGTACATATTTTCGTACTAATGTTTTTATTGATTTTTTATCCAGCAAAATACAACTTTCAGTTAATACTTAATACCATTGATGAGTAAATTAGAGAGTTTATTTATTTATTTCGAGTTGCATGATTTCCAGATCTTAAAAATTTTGTTTAGAAACAATTTTCAATTAGAAACAACCATTACATTTAGAACACATTTTTAGTTTTTTATCCAACAAATACTTTTTATTTATTTATTTATTTATTTATTTTAGGGAAACAAACAGTACGATATTACATAAATAATTAATAATAATAGATGACACATAAACCAATGAAGTTTCCACAAATAAACAATACACTTAAGAAGCAGACAATAATGAAAAAGAGAAAAACAAAAAGCTAGACAATAAACTAAAAAATTACAAAATGAAACACTGCTTAACATGAATAATAAAAAAAAATATAAAAAATAAGGAAAAATATAAAATACATAAAATACAAAATCAACAATTAAACAATAGGTTATTAATACTATTTTTGAAACTTAAAAGTGAATTTGAAAATATGTCTATACTTGTAAATTTTTTATTATACTCATTACATGAGCGAAGTATAAAGGTATTTCGAGCATATTTCGTTCTAGTACATGGCAGGTCAAAAATATCGTGGTTACGCTTACTAAATTTTGGAACCTTAAAATTCAAACAGCTTAATAAGAAAGGGCTTATACTTATAATTTTTACTAAATGATTATGTCAAATGAAATCAAAATATACTTTATTCAAATAAACTTTTACAAGCTCTTTTGAATCGTCAATTTTACATTTTAAATTAAAATTAAATGTTAGTCCGTTAGGAACTACCGCCGGCTCGGAATAAAGTTTTCTGCTGAGAAGAACCGGCGAGAAACTCAACAACGGCTCTTTTAAAATAATAATTGTGTACAATATTGTAATACAATTATTATCTATTTATCCTACGTGAGACATGATCATGTGATTATGTGTAATACATACAGATTATGATTTGATAAATCATTCGCGCAATTGATTTTAAATAAAATATGCATTACGACGTCACACTAACGTGATAGATGCCGTTACTTATTCATTTTTAAATTACCTATTTTTATATTTATTATTTAATTTCAAAAATTATTAATAAACAAATATTGTTAGTAAAGTTTTTAAAAATTATATAGATTTATAAATAATCAAAATTTACGGGTTCTGGATATCAAATAACTCTCCAATTGAAATGGTTTGTTGATCGTGCATTATTCCACAGAAAACAACGCGACGTCAACGATATACGGTATAACGTATAATTTATACCGTACGCAATACATACGCAACACGACTCGATACGATGCTCTACGAGTATGTTATCGGGTATCAAAAGTAACGAGTAACGATTCAAAAGTAACGAGTACTGATGCTATAGTAACGAATGCATACGGGTACGCTATTTGTCGTTACTTTTACACCTTGAATATTTATTAAGTTTGACGACACGTTTGGCTCAGTTTGTAGTGACCCTACTTGTTGTGCATCCATTTGTGTGATGAGCACGAATGTTTGCACTCCAGTCCCACCCATGTGTTTATATTTATAATATGCATATAACTATCTGGTATCCATAAAACTGCCTCGGTGGTGTAGTGGCTAGCATGTACGGCTGTACACCCGGAGGTCCTGGGTTCGAGTCCCGGGTCCGTGCCAATTTTAGTTATTGAGTCTTTCTGTATAGTAAGCCTCAATAACAGCCCGGAGTTGGGAAGTTGGCGGTGTTTCATCCCCGTGCCTCGGAGAGCACGTAAAGCCGTCGGTCCTGCGCCTTAACTCTCACTGGTCGTGTCGAGTGGTCCTCCCACCGGAATATGAGAGTGACAGGAATAGAGAGTGCACTTGTGTCTTCGCGTACACTTGTGCACTATAATATCTCCTGCGCAGTTGGCTATTGGCAGATTGGCCGCCGTGGCCGAAATCGGTCAGGAGAACTTAGCTTACTAGATGGTGCTGTGTGTTAATGTCCCAACCCCCCATATATTTATTATTATTATTATTAAAAAAATATTCAACAATATTTTTAACTTTTTTACTTTTCCTTTATTTTTTAATTAAATAATACATATATATCGTTAATAGAAATTGCAATGTGAAATTACTGCACTTTTTGAGTTGCGATGACTGGGATGCGAATGTCAACCGTAGTTTGAGACTTTAGTTATATATTTTTTTTTGAATTGTGTGCATTGAAGATTACCGCCATCTGTGGTCTGGAAGCGAAATTTACATGTTAGAATATTCAAATTCAAAATATTTTATTCAGCATTTAAGTTTTTACTTAAAATTATTACAATTTTTAACTGAACGTCATGAATCTACTACCATTTCGGGAAATTCGTGTAAATTTTTAGGAACTTATAACAACAATAATACATTTTTACGAACATACAACAACAATAGAAAATGTTGTTATTAAGTATCAAAAATATCTTATTTATAGTGAAAAAAAATAAATTTTTAATTATGGAATATTGATAATAATTATGGCGTATGATTGTTTTAACTAAAATAAAACACTAATATTTCATTGGTTTTTTTTATATTTTGTAGTGCAATATAATATGATTAATGGTGTATTTGTTGAGTTTTTTCTCTTCCAAGTTCCATGACTCCGCCATTGTCACCTAGATTGGATAAGGTACCATGGGTTCATGGATGACTAAAGGTACATTCACATCTGTTCAACAATTAGTTGAAGCAACGGATTGTCGGAGCAACACTGTTCAACAATGTTGTATGGTCAAGATTGATCAACGTCTGTTGCAGCAACAGATTCGGCACTTCCATTTTACATACGTTCTACACTTCTACAATCATGTCTACCGAACAAGCCGTTGCTCCTGCGGCTTTCTTAATTTTGAATGAAACTATTCATAACGAAAGGAGAAATAAACGATGGTGGAAACAAGCAATATTTAGAAATGAATGCCGAAACAGTATTAAACAGTGAATTTTGAAGCTTTCGAATTTGAGCATTATGATGCGCTTTAGTGCTGTAATTGGAAAACATAGTAGTATTACCCAGACTATCACAGTTTAGCCCTAACAGTTCTTTATAGATTGTGGTTTAGCCTGAGTAATAATTAAAATTACATATTGTTTTTTAATTAATTTTTATTTTTTATATGTAATATAAAATACAGAATTGGTGTGGTATGTATATTTACGTTAATATTATTTTAAAATATTTACAAATTACGTTTTATGTAAAAAGACAGCAAATTTAAATCACTTAAAAATAAAAACAATCTAAGAACCGATTTTTATTTAAATAATACAGGACTACTTTTTAATAAAGAATCATGAAAATCGTATCATGAGTATGAAAAAATACCTATAAATGGAGCGTTTTCTCTTTTTCAAAACGCGATAAAATTATAAAATGACTAAAAAATATGATTTGAAGAAGCAATACCTATTGTTGAACGAACCCATCATCTGTGGATACAAAGCAACACGCTTCAACAACTCGTATAACTTATTTTGTAGAACGATCGACGCTCTGTAGCAAGACTCATTCAACAAACGGCAACAGCTTTCAACATGTTTCTTTCCTCAAAATCGCCTGTTGTTGAATAGATGTAAATGCACCTTAATAAAATGAGACCAGAGACAGTAAGGAATTCGGCTTGACAAGTAAAATCCCAACTGTTAAGTGTGACATGCCAATTGACAAATGACAGCTACGGCAAACGGATGAGGCTGACACTGACAATTCAGATTTCAGACACTATGTATTTTAACTCATAGTTAAATTTTGAATAATCTCATCATCAATTTAATTGTAATGACTAATGAGTAACAACACTAGCAAATTACCTGTGTCTGGACCACTGCCATCAAATTCAAACAATCATATAAATAAGCTGCAAACAAATAGTTATACTAACTGCCAACCTAGATAATGTTTATTTAAGGCTCTCGTTACCTTGTTTTTTTACGTCTACTGATAACTGCGCGCTTGAGTGTAAAAAGGAGTATAAAAAGATTATTTTATATTAAGTGTTTCATTAGAACAGAATTACCCAATATGTCTGATGTACCCTGGATTTACTATAAAGATAGACCAGATTGGAGTGACGTTACTCCTGTCCCAGAAGATGACGGACCTACACCTGTCGTTGTAATAGCTCACTCTGAAATGTGTAATTGTTCTTTATTGTTAATTTCCTGACACCTTTTATAATTCAATTCTTTCTTAACCTTTAAATAATTTTAGCAGACTAACATTTTACATATTATTATTATATATTATATATCTGAGTAATTACTTTCAGTTGAGGATGTTTATGACTACTTCAGAGCTGTGCTGCAAAATAATGAAAAATCTGAAAGGGCTCTGCAACTTACAAAGGATGCTGTTGAATTGAACCCAGCAAATTATACTGTATGGCAATATAGGTATATTTATGAAATTCCAATTAATTTTATATTTTATTTTTGTGTCTAATGTATCACCCCTTGTTTGTGTTAAATAGTTAAGAGCCATGTTGACCACATGGCTTAACTATTTAACACAAATAAGAGGTGATACATTTTTTATTTTAAGGAAACTATTTCATGCTTTTATTTACTATGATTATTTTATACTTAACATTTGTGTGTAATATTGAAGAAAGAAGTGTTCTATGCTAAAAGTTGCAAGAGCATATAAAGCATGTATTAAGGGCCAAGGGCAAACCAAACCAACTAACTTTAACTATCTTGAAATATAATCACAAAATTTTATCATATTACTTTACGGAAAGGATTTCTGTACTTTTATTTTATACTAGCACTGTCTTTAAATTATTTAGTTTAAAAGTGATGATGATATTTTTTATAATTAGTATGCATTTAGGATTGAAAAAAATCTTTTATTTTACTCAATTATGATTTAACCCTTCAAAACTGTAATTTCATTATTTTAAATGTATAACTATTACTTTCTTTTATGTATCTTTTTATATCATATCATTAAGGCTTTAAAATAAAGTGATCTTCAGAAGTGGTAATCCATTCATAATGTGCTCGTTTAGGGAACCTTACTTAGTCCTTGACTCCTGAGATTACACCCCTAAGATTATGCTGTGAGAACTGACAATTACTTTTTAACTTGATTCTTTTTGCTAATATGGTGAATGAAAACATAAAGAAAATGGTATGCATATGTAATAATTTAAGTATTTTTTGAAAGACATGTGAAGTCTGCCAATTCGCTTTTGGATCTGGCTTGGTGTACTATGACCAGCTAAGCTTAGAAACAGATGTTTCGTTTTTATTATATTATGCTCTTGCTGCCTATGTACCTGAACTGAAATAGTGTTTAAAGCCCTTGAGTGCCCCATTAATTTTGTTTATCTAACATATTTTGTAGTTTAATAATTTGAGTAATGCTTAAAGTTATTTAAATAATTTAATATTGATTTAAAAATTTCAGGAGAGATCTTCTTAAAGCTTTAGGAACTGATTTAAGGCCAGAATTAGATTATGTGGAAGCTGTAATAAAACAGTCACCAAAAAACTATCAAGTATGTATTTTTTTATAAATAGCTGAAAATATTAATATACATATAAAAATAAACTCAACATAAAATATAAATAATTAATAATAAAGCATCTATTGTAAGTAGTATTGAAAATATTTAAAATTGGAAATATCATTTAAATTTTATTTCTTTGGCTGTTATCCAGTATATATTGTTTTCATCTCTCTCACCTCACAATTTTGCATTATAGTACATATATTGCTTTAATTATGAATAAAAGACCTTTCAAACACCATTCCTTAGCTATTGAATAAGGATAAGAGGTGTTTATAAGGTACAATGTACTATACTATCCCTGAACTAGTAGTTGTGTTCGAGATACTCTCATTATAATTTATTTTGGCCTTGTTAAAATCTGTCAGCAAAGAGGAATAATTCTTAATTCATTCGTTTTGTTTGAAATTGTGCTAAAGGAAATAAAATAATAAGTGCATATAGTCAGTTATGTTTATCTATACTATAATAAAACAGTAGAGGTTGAATGTCTGTACATAGCAAAAAAATGCTAAAAACCGAGTCAGGGGGATGTAAGAAGACAAATAGAACAAATCCAGATTTTTTCAATTTTTTTGTTTCTCTGTTTGTGATACCTTATATCCCCGGTCAACATATAAGATACTTTTCATTCCGGAAACTTAAAGAGTTCGCGTGGGATAGTTAAAATACTATAGTAACATATACAGCTTAGTACACAACAACTTATGCACCTAATTTAGTAAAATTTAACATTTTGACATCTTATATTACCGGTCAAACAACAGGTTACTTTTCATCCCGGAAAAATGAACGGTTCCCGTGGGAACTAATAGATCTCTATTAGTGCGAATGCTAATTAGAAGCGAGGGTGAGCCGCTAGTATAAAATAAGTAATCACTTTAACTTTATTGTTCTCAAGATTACTTTTCAATGCAAGTACATGTATTTATCACTTTATGATTTTCTTAAGATTTAAGAATAGAATTAAATTAATTTTTAAATACACATTATATACTAGCAGAACGCGCGGCTTCGCTCGCCCTAAAACTACAGTAAAACTAAAAAAGTAGGTTTCATACAAACTTTCAACCCCTATTTTACCCCCATATGGGATGAATTTTGAAAAATGTTAAAAAACTGTATTATTTAATTATATTGAAGAGCATTAATACCAATTACAATTTATTCTATAATCTAATCCAAAATAATAATATAATCAAAAAACAATTTCAATTAATTCTGATCATAATTTTTTTTTGAGTTGTTTTATATATTAACGTGTTTCCCATGGGAATGAGATAATCTCCCGCGGAAAAAGTAGCCTATGTCACTCTTCAACGCTCCAACTATCTCCACACTAATCCATACTTAAATCATACATAAATCACGCCCATCCGTCACTCTGTTTCGACGTGAAAGAAGGACAAACAAACAAACACACTTTCACATTTGCAATATTATTATAGTATGGATTATCATAATTTCAGGTGTGGCATCATAGAAGAGTGTTAGTGGAATGGCTACAAGATCCATCTCTTGAATTGGATCTAACTGGAGATACCTTAATTCAAGATCCTAAGAATTACCATGCCTGGCAACACCGCCAATGGGTTATCAAGACTTTTGGGTAAATTATTTACATATAATGAAAAATTGCCGTATTATATAACTTATATATTATGGCAATTTTTCATAATGCATTTATTTATTACTAGATCTGTTACTGACAATTTTTATCAATATAAATTGTAACAAATACTTTTGTCAATTTGAGTTGTTTAGCATTTTTTTGGCACAGCCATTTTGAAACTTGTGATAGTCAACTATACATTTCTATATCTTTTTTTATTTTAATCTGTATTAAGAGCAATATTATTTATCATCATAATAAGTTGTATAATATATTCTCTAACTATTACTCTCTTGCATGTTAAAGTTTGATATGAAATAATGATTAATTGAGCAATAAGCATCCAAATATTTTCACATATATTCTATATTAGACTATTACTATATATTTCTAATATTAGAATTATTAGATAATAAACCATTCGTAGCTATTATGTCTCAACAAAGCCACATTCTACTATATTCATATTTCATGCAGTTGTTCAACGAATGCTGCGCAAATGATGCGATAACGAATTTCATACTTACTTTATAAGACATTAAAGATACGTTTCAAAATTTGAATACATTTATCTTTACAGGTTATTTGATAAAGAGATGGAGTTTGTTGATTCTTTGATTACTGAAGATGTTCGCAATAATTCTGCTTGGAATCAGCGATATTTCGTCATGAATAACCATCAGGGCTGGTCAGATCTTAATGTGCAGAAGGAAATATGCTACGCTTTAGAGAAAATAAAATTCGTCAAAAATAATGAAAGTGCCTGGAATTATCTAAGGGGTGTCCTGCTCCATGATAAACGTGGGTTGAGTGGAAATGCGGTAGTAATATCATTTTGTGAAGAACTATACAAGAACAGATGCAGGTCGCCATTCTTACTAGCGTTTTTAATAGATATTTGCGATGAGGCCATCAAAAAAGGAGAAGCTACTACCTGTTTGTACAACGCGGATAGAGCTATTGAACTGTGTCAAGCGCTAGCCACTAAATACGATAAAATAAGATCAAAATATTGGAACTACTTAAGCGATAGATTCAAGAAGAACCAGAGTATGGAAAATGATACTAATAATATTGATGTATAATGTATTTTTCAATATTTTTGTGCCATTTCGATCTGATAACAGCTTCAATTAAAATGAAATATGCAAATAAATAAAATATTCATTTACAATATTTTGTTTATGGAAAATACAGTTTTCATCTATGAAACGTGATATGGTTTTAATTTTTATCTAGATTATTAAAATATTTAGCTCTTTGTTGAGAAATATTTAGGTTGGTATGTACATCGGAACGTTCTGCATGCGCCGTTATTTTGCAGTTACAATCTTCCTTATTTTTAATAATATCTACTTGTTCTTTTTTCTCTGCACTTAGCACATTCTTGACGCATTTTGCGTTGTTTTGCATTTTTACATTCTTATTACTCAACGAGACTGGTAGTAGGTACTTTTCTTACATCGGGGCAGTTATTGCATCTACATACAATGCAGTCGCATAATGGCTACAAAAAATGTTTTTTTTTAGCAGAGAATGTACATATGAAATTAAAACTGTTCTTTTTACTCTATTATTAGGAAAACATTCTATTTTAAGATAACTAAACAAAATACATAATACCTTTGTAGCTAATTGCCCTGATGTCTTTATATTGCTACAACCACTCTTTTTCATTTACCAAACAAAAATTAAACATTTTACGTCTAATCTGCTACTTAATTGTTGCCATCTGATTGCTTTCATACTCGTATAAGACTGCTTTATTTTGTCTCAAATATCTACACACTTTGTGGCCATTTGACAATGTCTACAGCATATTTTTTTAAAAGGTTAATAAATGCTGTGACTGTTATCCAGTAACTATATGAATAAATAATTGTTTGTTTTTCTATTTTAAAATATGTATGTATATATATTTTTTTGGTTATTTGGTGTAAAAAAGAAAATACGAATATCATTTAATATTAAACAAATCTGTATAGAACGTACAATAATAAAAAAAGTTAAATAAAAATACACTAAAAACAATCAAAACTTGTTACCCGTTCTAGACGAACGAGTTAAGTAATATTTCAATTAGTGCAAGGAAATTGTCACAGTTCATTTAGTAATGAACTGTGACAATTTCCTTAACTAGTGTTACTTGACTAACTAGTGTTAGTACATTAATATAATACACATTGGTATAATTTGAACAGTTAGGTACTCTGAATTAAAATTCACTCAAAACGATTTAACATGTTATTAGCGTATAATGTTTTATATAAAATTTGTAATGAGCTCGTTATCGTCTGGTTAAATCTCTTACAAGTCGTAAATTATATTCTAGCATTGATCGTGTTATACCAATTCAAAAGAATGTATATAACGGCAATCGACCATGGCCATTATAGGAATATAAAAAAAAACTATTCACGGTGTGCTTTATTTGTCATCCATGATGGCGTATAAATATTGAAACATCTGTTAGCCATGGCACCTTTCACAAAAGTTGGTTTTCAAGGTGACAAAATAAAACGGCAAAAATGAATTTATTTACATGTAAAAACCTAAACCTGTAAATCTTTCATAATGTGGAGAAAAATACAAGAGCCCAATTCGATGTCTGAACCAATACAGCTGCGAAATTTAAAACAATTATTGCATAAAAATAGATGCAAGTGTAGAATTTGTGTTCAATACCAGTCATTTACTTTTCTAAACGAGGATAAGGAACTACAAGTAAAGGATGAAGATTCTCCTAACACTTTTTCTACAGCTAAATCGGGTCTAAAGCTTCGAGGTATTAGGTCTATCAATGCGTTGAATTCAATTCATTCTTGTAAAGATATAATGTGTCCAGGCTGTTTTATGGCCATAAATCTACTGCACCAAAAGTATTTGAAAGATGAGACGTCAGAAACTAATCCCTATATGTTTAATTGCGATAAATCAACTGATAAAGTTATATTTCATTTGGAAAAATCTACGTCCGCCACTAACAAAGTTCTGCCTGTCTTTAAAAAAATCAACAGTGTAAATGATGAACATTCTATCGACGACGCACGTTCATCTGAAACTCGAAATGATAAATTGAAAAAGGAAAAAGTTACTTTCATAGAGCATCAAGAACATCCTCAACCACAATCTATTAGTGGAGACTGTTTATGCATAGAACATTTTATTAATTCCATAAGGCCACCGTTTATAAATCTAGATATGTAATTAGATGAAATATATTTTAACGAAATAAAAGAAACGTATGCAATGTTTGTTTGTTTTTATGGCGTAAAATAATATTAATATAATCGTAATTATTATCGTAAATTTCATATTATCTTTAATCTCTAACTTAATCGTTCTTTCGTAGTATGCTTTTAAATGATACCTACATATAACATAATATGCAGAATTTCGTGGGTCGTGATTCGTGGTTGAAGCAATAAGTAATAGCGGACGAGATTGCACGGTACGCGTCTACGTCCTTTTTTTCTGTCCTGATTGAAAGAGTAAAACTTACCTATATTTATTGTGCACGTACAATTAACAGTATTATAAATATATACTCGTAAGAGATAGTGACTAGTTTAATAGATAATTAAGATTCAAGCAAATTAAGTAAACGATATTATGATTGTTTCACATTTCTTGCAATAAATGAAAATGTATTTATAAATAATTAAAAACCGGCCAAATGCGAGTCGCACTCGCGCACGAAGGGTTCCGTACCATAATCTATATAAGCGGCAAAAAAAATCATGTCTTTTGTATGGTAGCCACCTTAAATATTTAATTTATTCTGTTTTTTTTAGTATTTGTTGTTATAGCGGCAACAGAAATACATTATCTGCGAAAATTTCAACTGTATCACGGTTCATGAGACACAGCCTGGTGACAGACGGACGGACAGCGGAGTCTTAGAATAGGGTCCCGTTTTACCCCTAAAAACTAGATAGGTACGTCTTGAATACTAAATGCTGCACTTTAAGAAAGCTGATTTTATTTTTAGTGATCGTTGGGTAAAAAAAGAGTTACATAAATTCTTTTTAGATTTGAACATAAATTAAGTCTTTAGGTAATAAATTGTCTACATTTCAGTTTATTCTTATACAACTAGAATACAATGTAGCCTAGACAACTCAAATAACCTTGAGAAAGTATTCAAATACCTATATTATACTAGAATGTGGCTTTGATTGTTGTCAAACTCCTCTGAATAATTTATTGTTTGCGAACATTATAAAGTCTCTTTTCTGATTTACTACTGACTGAATAATTGATTATGTTTTGCGCTATAATGTGGCTAACTATATCAAACTGACACAGTTCTTAGGTACCTATTATAAATAAAATTGTGAATTGAAAGAGATTATTTACTAATTGAAATAATATATTAAAACAATAAATTAAATATACATTTCGTATAGTAAATGTAATATACATAACACAATACGGTGCTTTTATGAAGCGACGTAATGTTTGATAAATCTTGCAGAGGGGTCTGAAACTTGTACCCATTTAGGCATCCAGTAATACGGTGTAAAGTTGTGTTGTCCCGGAAATGATTTTTCAAATATGTATCGATAATATTCAGACTCTGTAGTAGTGGGTTGTAGCCCGGGATAAGAGACTTTTGTTTCTGGCAATCTCTCTTGAATGATTTCATTGATTGTAGTAAATAATGATTTCTTTACGGATGCAACTCCATCACTAAACGCCTCCTTGTGTCTGAATAAGATTGAGTCTGGCAACAAACCAGTACCTGCAAAGCTATTACGTAACAAATGCTTTTCAACTCCGTTTTGAGGTTGTCGCATTGAGGGTTCAATGCTGAGGTAGTGATTTGTGAATTGAAGGTCTAAAAATGGCACTCTAAGTTCCAGACTAAATGCGCTTGTAGTTCTATCTGCTCTCAATCCGTCATATAGATATATATCTGACAAAAGTCGTATGCTTTCATCGTTTGCAGCATTTGCGTCAGGGGCATCTCTAAAATAAATATACCCTTGAGCAACTTCATCTGCTCCTTCACCACTAAATACAACGGTGGTGTCAGTATTTTCCTTGATGTATTTTGACAAGAGATACATCGGCAAACTAGCGCGAATTGTAGTAATATCATATGATTCTAAATGGTATATTACGTTATCTAATTCTTTTCTTACATCGTTTTCATCAAATTTCACTTCATGGTGTTCTGTGCCAAGATGTTCGGCTACCGTACGCGCTGCAATGAGGTCTGGTGAATCTCCCATCCCTATTGCGAATGTTTGAATTTTATACGGAATTTTGTTTATTTTTGCTAATTTCACAACCAAAGCTGTTATAAGTGATGAGTCTAGCCCTCCACTCAATAAACATCCAATACGCCTGTCAGACATTAATCTTTTGTTACAAGCTGCTTCTAATAAGTAAGCAGTTTTTTGATATACATTTGCCAACCCTGCTAGTTCAGCATCCGACACGAATGTTTGGAAGCGTGGGGTCATACCAGGTGTATAATATTTTTCCGTAAATTTGAGTTTCACTTTTCCTCCGTCTAACATATCCCATTCTTCTAAATGTCCGGGTGGAAATTGTCCTAATGTTGAGATTCCACTAGATTTTTGCTTTAATTCTATAAGACCTTTTGCTTCAGAACAAACTCCCATACTGTTATTTTCTTCATCGTGCAATTTAAATAGAGGCCTTACTCCATACGGATCTCTTGCGATGTAAATTTTACGAGCGTCTCCGTCTACTAAGCAAAATGCAAAAACACCATCAAGCATTTTAACAGCCTCCACTATTCCAAAACTCTTATAACAATGAATAATGGCCTCAACGTCGCAGTTAGTTTCATAATTGAAATTGTATTGATCTCTTAGTCTTTTACAGTTATAAATTTCTCCATTACATATAAGAGTGATCCGAGGATATTGGTGTAATCGCATTGGCTGCATACCGTACAATCCGTCGACAATGGACAATCTTTGAAAGCCTAATATTGCAAGAGGTTCTCTAGCATCATGTTCAATGCGCCACGCGTCTGGTCCTCGGTGTAAAATACAAAATAAACATTTAAAATATACTGATTGATGGCTTTGATCCATTCCAAATATCGCCCATATTCCACACATGGTGACCTGTAAATAAAAAAATAAATAACTTTAACGTTTTTAATTGTACCTAAGACTACTACGATACTAAGATAAACTAATATGAAATACAAATACTAAGATAAAATAATATTTAAATAGATAAGAAATTAATTTCTATATTTGGTGCCTTTTTCTTAAACTAATATTTTCGCTTATATTTTTTTCGACATAAATATTATAATGTTTGAAATTTACACAATAGTTAAATGAAAACAACTAATAAAAATATTATCTTTTATTTTTTAAGGCCACGTTGAACGTTGAAATGTTTTAACAAAATTTTAGTACCTACTTAGTTTTTTTACGTGTTAGGAAATAATATACCTATGGTTTTCGACGGTTTTTTGATTTGTGTGAAGATTTTTGCATTCCTTATATTTATTATTAAACATTTATACAACACATCTTCGTATATTTCCTGTAAGTACGTACTAAAAGTAACGTTAAATAAAATATAGCCTTATGAGCGCTTGTGTCCGGTATTGTTTGTAATAAAAAAAATTAACATAAAATATAAAATAGATACATACAGACAAACATCGAACTCCCTCCTTTTTGGAAGTCGGTTAAAAAATGTAAGATTATGGTCATATTAATCAATCATAGAGGCTAAAAATCAGGTTTTACGAATTTAAACTAACACGTATCTATCTAATATACCTAACAGTAACGTGATCGCCTAGGACTAAAAATAATTGTTGTATTCGCTTACATATATTAAAATATAGTATTCTGTATACCTAATGAAAACTATGTGATAATTTTGTTTTAAACGTTTACCGTATTCGGTACGTGGATAACTGATGCAATACTCATTTTTTTCTCATTCCCAAAAAATATTGAATATAATATTAAAATTACCTATTATATATAAAAAGTAACTACATATTTATAACATAACAATTAGTTAATGTATAGTTAGCAAATATAAATTAATTAAAACCCACGCTATGTCCATACGGCAAACACAGCAGTAGTACTCTTTAGGTTAAGTCTATTGAACAAAATATAAATAACATGAAAAACTTGTGTTGTATACTGTGTATGTTACATTCATTTAAACATAATGGTGTGTGGTTAAATAATTAAAGTGGTACCTAACGAAGTATGTATTTCAGCCTTAGTTCCCGCACTACGTCCTCACACGCCGGCAATCGAAGCCAAAGACTACACTCAACAGTCCAGTCAACACTGTACACATAACAGAGTTCTACACTGTTTAACACGATTATAACTGAGTCAGTCAGTACAGGATTATTTTTTTTGCACCGTGTCGTGGTCAACGATATAAAATGTACGACTTACGAGTTTACGTAGCAATCTATACACTACAGTGTGTTTTCAGCTTATTTATTTTTCATGGATCTTTAACTATTCATGCTGTGTCAACTGTCAATATGACTGTTGACACATGACATTTTTTATTGTGCTTTATCGACTATTACAGACTAAGTAGATCGTAGAGGTATGCTCTATCCGTATAGATTGGTCTGTGACCAATGAAGATTGCGGACTATTTACTTTATGGCAGACTGCGACCATAGAGTATATTGCTACATATATAATGGCTGCGACCATCCTGGGAAGCACGAGGAAAGGCAATGCAGAATACTAATATTATGTTGTGTACACATGACGTTTATAATTTAACAGACAGACAGCTTCAGATGAAGCAAAAATTAATTAATTAAATAACTTTTTTAATTTCTAAATGTTTTATTTTAAATAAAAAACATAGGTTCTTTATCAAAATACCTTTTAATAAATTAAGTCCAAAACACGCGTAATAAAATTATTTTCTTAATTTTTCAAAAGAAATCAAATATGAACTTTATTTTACAAATATGAAGTTTATCCATTATTTTTCTGGCGATGATTGTGAATCAATTCACGAGCGGTACCGATGGCACTGAGAGCTCCGAGTCCTCTTCCCTGAAAAGATAAATAAATTATAAAAAATATTCACAAAAGTTCTCAACTTCGGTGTAAATTATAAATACGGACCTATGTAGATTTCAGTTTATCATGTAGAGAACTCTTTTATAATTTACGTGTTAGTTTTGAAAGTCGATAAAAAAGGATTCTAACTTACAACGATTTTGCCCCCAGTTTTAATAGCGCCGGAATTTAATTTCGGAGCAGCGCTGCTCGGAGCAAACAGAGCGAGCAAAACCATGAATATTGCAAAAAAAGTTAAAATCTTCATTTTCGGACTTCAATAGGATTGTTCACGGCACGCAATTTACGACTTAACACTTGTTTAACTGTTAAGCGAATAATAAATAGCTCGGCAAATTCTCTATCTTTATATAAGAAAACTATATTTTCCTCATTTTACCTTTGGGGTTCTCCCAGGTTTAAAAGCAAGTTGCAGGTGTTACCTAATTAAAGATGCAAATTGATGTTCCTAAAGAATTTATATTACTTGTGTGAATAATACATAATTGATTAAAAAATTGAATGTTTTATCAAATATAATATTATGACGAAGATGATATTTTTAAAGGCTAACTATAAAACTGTAGACTTATTTTAAACTATCTACTTCTTACGAGTTAACCCACGTCTAAATTAGAAAATCATATTTTGGCCCATAATCAGCCAATAACAAACACTACTTTACTGACTACACAATAAAGCTCCCATCGACATCTATTGCTTATGAACATCTATTGATTTGACACCTCACAAAAAAAATAACACTCAAAATGCAATTTTTAGTCTATTATTTTTTAGTATGTACCTTTATGTTTATTAACATTTGCCATCTTATTTAAGATAGTAGGTAAAATGACTAATGCAACTAAGTCTTCCTTCTTAGTATACATAGGTTACTAAATATAAATCAAACTTGAAGTAGAAAATCTTAGCGGCCAATCTTAATCACAAATTCATGAACACGCTACTTATTATACTTATTCGTTACCCGACTGCAAGGAAAGGGTTATGTTTTTCGCGCCTATCTTTATAATATAAATATATAAAGTTTATATGTTTTTAATATTTTTTATTCCCTCAAATCTTCCAAACCACTCGATGGATTTCATTAATTAAGGTATCGTTAGATTCGTCTTATTAGTCCAAGTATTCTTAGAAAGGTGACATAAAAATAAATAAATATGTTGGCTGCTAGATTCCATTATGTGAAAAAGAAAAAAATGAAAATCGACGAACTATGTCAAGTGGGGTATCGTTGAATAGTTATTTAAAAATCATTTTTAGGTTTCTTACATCATTTTTAATTTTAAATAACAGTTTAGGATATATAATGATTTAAAGTTGATCAACAACCATTCTCGCTAATTTTTCTACTTAAAAATACTTAAAAAGCTGTAAATAAATATATTATAAAAATAAAAAACCCGACTGCATAAAAGCTAACTAAATAGTTTTTATTTTTTTAATATACTAGCAGGACCCGGTAAATTCACAGGATCGCCCGCTGCGCTAATCTGAAGATTACCTGAAAATTTCATCAAAATCGCTCCAGCGCTTTTGGAGTCCATAGGAAACAAACACACACACATCGATTTTTATTTTATTTAATCAACAATTTAAATTTATTTATTGCTCGGAAAATGGAGAGGAGATGATGAAAATTTAGTGACACACAAACTGCAGCGCCACCTAACGGATCCATTTGTGAATTTAAACCTTGCAGGGACCCAGTCGAACATACACAAAAAATATCATTAAAATCGGCCCTGCTGTTTAGGAGATGATCAGTGTCACACCGACTGCCTCGCCGCCTACTGGGTCCAAATGTGTTTTCAAACCATCCAGGAGCCCATGGAAATATACACACAAAATTTCATCCAAATCGTTCCAGTCCTTTAGGAGGAGTAGGTTAACAAACACACGTACAGAAGAATTATATATATATTAAGATTTATTTATTGTACTAAATTACTTCAATACCTACTAGCGACTTATCTCCTTATATAATATGCTCGCTTTGATCGGGTGCGTCCCTATAGATACCATATTTTACGTTAAACATGAACGTAAAATTATGGATTTTCCTATGAAAATGAGAGATTTTACCACACTAAATTGTTAAATACTTATGTTAATTTTTACCCTGTTACTTGTTAGTAATACTTTTGTGTAATCATTGTGTGAAGGAAAACGAAGGACGTAACATATATTATTTTCCAGTGGGAATAAGAGATTTTCATTATTTTTTTTCTAAATATTGACTTGAGATAATTATATCTGTACAAAACTTTTTGCGCAAATTCAAAAAGATAATAAATAGAAAAAGATTTAACAACTATGATTTAGCGGTCTATACTCGTATTCTGTACACAATACCTACATAACAGTCATGTTTAAAAAAATATTTAATAGGTATACAGATTTCGCTTCATTAATCAATTATACCTATGAATGATAAATCGAAACAAGATTTTTGCATACTAATCCTCTATTGTCCACGATAATATTATAAAGAGGTAAAGTTTGTAAGTTTGTTTATACTGGATAATCTAAAAATCCCCTGAACCGATTTAGATGAAATTTGGCATGAAGATAGTTTGAGACCCTGAGACGGATATAAGATAGCTATCCCGGAAATCATCCCTTAAGGGGATGAAAGTTTATATGGGGAATCATTTCTCTAGTAAGGGATATAAAACTCATCATACCTATGTGTATACTAATATAATATAATTATATCTATTTCATACTAACAGTCAAAATGTACCTAGGGACGAACCCGAGCGAAACAAGGGTGAGTCGCTAGTAATATACAGGTGAAAGATATGCACCATGCACTATGCGGGTAACAGTGTCATATGGAGGGGCTCAGTTATGTTTTGGGCAGGATTCTGTTACGAAGCGAAAACCGAGCTTATATTCATAGAAAATGGATCCCTTACAGCCGCTAGGTATATAACGGAGGTTTTAGAAGATCATGTGATGCCTTTTACTGGGTTCATTGGAGAAGCTTTTTTGCTTCTACAAGATAATGCTCGCCC